TAAGGGTCATTAGAAATTAAAGACATAAATAGCCTCTGACAGGCTGTGAGAGCTAGGTATGTGAATCTGGCTGGTCCTTTTTAGAAATTCTGAAGCTAAGTAATTTAAAGTAAAGTATGCAGATGAAGTTTAAGGGGGGGGGGTCTAGCCTACAAGTTGTAAATATGGCGTTTTTAGGTTTTATACTCATCTTTAAGCTTATATTCTGCCATATTCAATGGTAGGTAGTAGGTACCATAGAGATGGTAAGAGTATAAGAGAGATGTAGAGATTGTAAAACAACATTTTACCATCTCTAGACTCTGTACGTTGATTTATGCATTCAGGACAGATCATGAAAGGAGGAAGGGTGGGGGAGTTCTTTAACAAATTATATAGGAGGTAATTCAGTTCCCAGCACTTTAAATAGTGTCTGCTTGAGCCTGAGGTGCAGCTTAGTTACTCATTTAGTCTCAATCATGAGACATGAGACTGTCTCATGCTGACGGTGAGTGTGGTCTCATCTTAAAACTAAACATTCTGCCCTATCCAACGGTACCATTACCATCTCTATGCCGTAAAATGGGATAACTTAGACCTCTTTTTTATGAATGATGCAATTTTTTTACTAGCTAAATTAAACTTGAATTGAAACGTGCAAAATACAGTTCTATACTCTAGCTTCACTCACCATAAATTACTGGCTCCTAGCCTCCTGCCTCTCATAGTCTTTATGTAATTTCAAAAAAAGTGATGGTCTTTGTTACCCCAGCTCTTGGGGCATCTTAGACCGGGTGGTAAAATCAATTATATTTCTTGGTAAAATAACTCCAAATAACTCCAGGTTTTGGTGCATTGTAGTAGAACTCTTCTAGTTACATATGCAAATGACAAACTTGAGGAAAGTGTCATAGTTTGCAAATGGGGGGCGCCGCCCCATAATTGAGGAAATGTGACTACCTAATGGCAGCCCTGAGGGGGTAAATATTAACTGGCTTGGAAATTAAGTTAAAATTACCATATATAAGACTCTTTAGAGTCTGAAACATAAAGAAAAAACATAAATAGGCTGTCAAACTCAAACATAAAATATGTTATGTATGGTAATTTTATATTAACTTCCAAGCCGGTCTATGTTACCCTGTCTGGCCTGTCAGGACTGACATTAGGTGGTCTGAGTTCCCCCATTTGGGGGCAGCACCCCATTTGCAAACTATGACACTTTCCTAAAATTTGTCATTTGCATATGTAACTAGAAGAGTTCCACTACAATGCATCAAAACCTGGAGTTATTTAACCAAAAAATAAAAAAATTGGAGGGGGTACTCTGACAGGCTTTAAATAATAGTTTTTTTTTTTTTGTGGGTTACATTTTTAATTTTTTAACCTATTAGATATGCAAACTTTTCAAATCTTTCTATTGTGTTATGAAGCCTTAGTATTAGGCCTTTAATGCCCATTGACAAAATTTTTCATGTCAAATAGTTTTTGAGTTTTGGGGGTTTTTGTTAAAAAAACGAAAAGTGGTCTAAGTTACCCTGCCGGTCTAAGTTACCCCATTTTACGGTACTTAATTTACTGCAGTGGTTCCCAAAGTGGCCGATATCGCCCTCCTAGGGGCGATGGAAAGATTTTGGGGGGCGGTAAGGGAGAAAAGGGCGATAGGGGGGCGACAGGAGGGCGGCAGTCCGAAGCCGAAGTCAGAAGTTCGAACGTTTGTTTGACGATTTGTACACAACACGTGCAGCACATGACTCCCAGCGATGGTTTTTTTCACCCAGATCTGTTTTTAGCGCATTTACTCATTTATGGAAAAAATGCAGTATTGTGCTCGCCATGTCCGTCCGTCTGTCTGTCCGTGTGTCTGCCTATCTTGTCAGTCTGTGACTTCACGTTTTCGTCGACGAGAAAATGCACTCTATGTCACTCACTGTAGTGAGTACTGAGTTATATTTTTTAACCTCTCCTGGGTTTACGTCTCCGACAAATTAACGGCCTGACTCGCGGCCGGTCTCACGGCCAATTTCCAAATTCAATGATCAAGGAATACCTCTCAAACTAATAAACTTAACTCAATGAAACTTGGTACACGTATTCATTAGGACCTAACAGTAATGTAATTATGTAGAGCTTGTGGAAATTTCTTTTAATTTTGCCTTCAATTGTTTTTGCCATACTTATATGGCAATATATAGTCTGCCAGCTGTGTTGTTGCCAGCCTTCAAAAAATGTAATCTTTTTTTCAACACATTTGAGTTGTCACAACTTTCAATCACAATCAGAAAAGCTTTTTCGTTCTTTTTGCCTATCTGAAATATCAGACCAAACTTTCCTAAAATGGCAGGTAAAGACAATCATATCATGGATAATTTCAAAAAATTGCATGTGAAAATAGGCCTTTTTCTATTTTTAGTTACAGAATAAATTGGAAAAGGTTGCAGAAATTAGTGAAATTTTTCATATTGACAAGCGTTTTTTTCAATTTATGGATGGCAATGGAACCCTTCAAATTTTAATTTTGACCATTGTTATATAAAGTTTTTATTTACGAGTAGCAAGTTAAGTGCAGACGCTGCTGAGTGGCAACTCATGTGTCATTGACAGTAGAAAACGAGATAATTTTAGCAATGAATAACAAACACAAGGCCTGCTAACTGGCAACTTCCATGAATCAGGTGTGGAATATATGTGCTTTACTGCCATTTTTGGAGCCACAAGATACCAGCTTGTTGAATTATCTCCTATCTAATTGTAAACAAAAGTGTATGATCAAGGCTAAAAATTCTAAAGACATAAAATGTCACTTTATTGTCAGCTATGACATATTAGTATTTAGTAGGAAATTTCCATTCGTGTTATGACTCATGAATGATACACAAGTTGCCACTTTGCAGATATATGCTGCATTAACTTGTTGCTTTTCATGTTGTCAATTTTCAACTACAATTTGCAGGATAGTGGGTTGTGTTTATCCCATAATAACTATTACGTTCCTGTGAACTGATGGGAATATGTGATTCAGTTTGTTTATGAAATTAACTATTTATTTTGAAAGGTTATAACTAGCAACATTGGTGCTGTGGCAACTTGAAGGGGAGCATCTGGGTCCAAAATAGACCATTTTTGGCTTTTCCTGTTTTTCTGCTCATCTTAAAGCTGGCATTCTGACCTATCCAACGGTAACCAAAATCAGCTCTACATTGATTTATGCCTTCATGACAGATTCCAAAATAGTTGCTTTTCATTGCATCCTCCACAAATCCCTACCTGGAATATTTACTGAACCTGCACATATAAGCCTTGTTTGAAAGCCTTCAGCTTAGTTAGCCCCAAACTGTTGTGCGGGAAGGTATTCTCAGCATTCTCTACATTGCTGACTTGCTTTTAAGCAGTGTTGGCAACGATTAAATCAAACTGACTTAATCATGTGAATAAATCATTTGATTTTTTATAAAAAAATCCTGATTTTTTAATTTTTTTATTTCTGATTTTTTTATATATTTAAATATATTGTTGAGTGGCAGTCTTTAATTTATTTTGAGGCATTATATTCATAGTTTAGTATATTGGCCATTCTAGAAGGCAATAAGTGCCCTTTTTTGCCATCCATTATGATCCATATACTGTTATTGTTAGTAGGCTATTCGCAACATAAAAAATAACATTTCAAACAGACAAATAAGCTGAAAGAATCGAATAAATAAATAAAAAATCATGAAAAAATCCATGATTTTTTATTTTTGTTTTTGAATAAAAAAATCACCCACCCTGCTTCTAAGTGAAAGAACACATAACTCTGCTATCACAACTACGGGAAACGGCTATATTTAGCGCTGTGCAAGCGGCTGGCCATTGTCGGCTCTCCTGTACATTCCTGAATATTGCACCTATTGTCACTGAGAACCTATCTCCTCCTACAGTTTTTAAGCTACAGAATTGAGAGATATACCATTTGATTATAATTTTGTTATAGTTTTGAAGTTTTTTTGAAAAAAGTGGGGGGTGGGGATGGGGGGAAATGAAAAAGGGACAAAAAATGCTCCATCATCTACAAAAATGGGAATTTCAAAAAAAGCTATGACCAATTGATAGATATGGTCTTTATGCATCAAATTATGCGCGTCTCAAGGTGGTAGCTCAAAAATCCTAGGAGATAGTTTTCTACGGTACCCTCTTATTGTCCGTTTTCTAAGAATTTCACATTTTCTTTCATTTTTTTTCATTTACACAAGCAAAAAAGTCTTAGATTTCTGTTTTACACATGTGTACCAAGTTTCAACGTGATCCGTCTGTAAATAAAAAAGTTTTTCTGGGACCCAGGTGCTCCCCTTAAATGGCTTTTTCATCAGCAGGTTAGCACTTCACAGATAATACCTCCAATATATCAATCAATTATCCCTTTAATCTAAATCTTATCCATCTTGATTCTTGTCATCCCAAATCTTCTGACATTGCCTGGTATTTATCCATGTTATGGTTTTTTTTAAATGTGTCATAACTTTATCTGAAATATATCCGAATGTATGTTATCAGAAATTGGTTCAAGATTTATCTTAATCTATGTTGTTTAGGATGGATAATGCTTGCAATGATGCAATCATAAATATCTACAATAGCTCAGTCTTTTAATGTTGACTTACTCGCAATATAATTGCAGGAATTAAGTTTTATTTTTTGCATAAAATAAATATGATTGCCCTTGGTTTGGCAGATTGGTTCAAAGCTTAAATGTTTCTAATATTTTGCCTGGTCATCCTCATGATGCAAACTATGTAGACCAAGTAATCTGATTTGCTCTTCTTCCTAGGCTACGAAATATGCTTTTTCAGGCAGTCCGTGCAGACTGTTCCTAGTGGTAAAGATGATCTCTGACATGAGTAAACATGTATATATACCAGTTATCTCTTTTCATTCGTTATATGTGAAAAATGTAATTCTATGTAAGATTAATACTCTCATGTTTCAGATTTTGATATTTCTTACTCTAGAGTTTAGCGCTTTAATCTGAGATGTATAAAAACGAAATGAACAACATGTTAGCTCAGCAGCAAGCACAGATGCAGCAGCAGCAGCAGCAGTCACAAGTTCAAATGCAGCAATCTCAGCAAGCAATGATGATGCAAATGCAGCAAGGTAAGCAAACATCATCAATTTTTTCCAATTTCAGATGCCAAGCATTTAGGCAATAGACCAAAATATAATCTTGTTAAGAATTTTCATGGAATAAAATTCAATGACATTATGGTTAGCATAATTTGGTGACGTTTTCTTTTGTAATAAGAAACTAGGTATGCCCTTGAATCTTGCTTTAATTCAGTGTATATTTCTTCATCATGTAAATTGTTGCTTTGTGTGTTAGGTGGTCATCCCATGCAACAGCAAGTGCAGCAACAGCATCTTCAGAACCCAATGAGTCAAGATCAAATGCAGCAGCAACCCCAGCAACAGCAGATGTTGGCACAATCTGCAACACAACAGCTCAACAACAACAACAGCAGGAGCAGAAGCATGACAACATCAGCAAAGTGAAGATGCTCAGCACTCAAATGAGTGATACTCTGATGGTGCGCTTCATAAACCTTGTCATTCTAGCAAATTGATTATGAATCATCTTCATTATGGAACAATAGTAGTGCAGCTTTATCATGCTTGAGATAGGTACAATGCTTGCAATTAGAATTATTGTGTTGTTACGACTTGTTCGCACAAGTAGTATATAGGTACTTTTCCTACCTATTTGTTATATTGATATATTACCTCAAACATCATGATTTCATTCCTTGTGATGCCACATCTTATTTCTTCTTCTTTTACAGTAATAAATCATTGTTTTAATTTCACATGCAAATTATCATGTCATGTATTCAATGCAGGAGACTCTCCGCATGGCTGGAATAAATCTGTCCTCCAATGCTCAGGTAGAGCTTGGCAACAAGTAAGTCTTGCACTTCTGTTTAGCAAATCTATCTGTTGTTGTATGATGATTTGCATAGTTATTTTTTGATGAGTGGAAATGCTTGTTGGTATTCTCCTTCATGACTAAAATTCAACCTATTCTAATGTCTTCTATAAATTTTGTTAATTTTCCAATAGAGTCAATTTGCTTTAATGTTATTTTCATTCCTAGAAATAGTGAATGTGCCTCGTCATATGGGAACTTTTTCCTGTTCATGTAGATTTTTCTTCATTTTTAATGAAATAATTATTATGATGCATATATGTATTGTTCTTGTATTTATAATTATCAGATTGGAATACCATATTGTATTTTCAAACAGTATTTAAATTTCATTTACAGCATCAGTGCTAAATGCTGATGCCAATCTGAGTGTGGATTAGCAATGCAATCAGGAAAGCAAGGTCTCTTATACATAAATACACTCTTGATTGTAGATGTGTCTCAAATGTTGACAATTAATTACTGAGTAAACAATTAATTTTCAGGCAAGGGGGAGAGATGAATGCTGCTAAATATGAGGAGTGTCTAGAGAAGTTTTATTCCATCTGTGACCAGATGGAACTGCACTTGGTAAGACCTCTGCCTTATAGATTTTCCAAGATTTTCCAACTCATGTATTGCACAAAAGAAACTTTTGCTTACTGTGATGAATTCCTAGAGAATTTGATTGAGTCGTTAATCAAATATTTTTATCGTCACTAAAAATAAAATAGCTTACAACCAAGCATGATGACTCAAAGAATTCACTTTCACAATGCAGTAGCCTATTGTTTCAAGTACAAACATTTTCAAAGCAGATGCCAGATATATATTGCACTTATATTCTAGGTGCAAATGCTACTTTTTTATTGTAATTTTATTATTTAAATGCAGGCTTGAAGACATTTCTTCTGCGGATTCATGAAATTTGGATGTGCATAAAGATTACCTCAAGTTAAGGTTTGATTATTCTGTACCCATTATTTAGTTTATTGAATATGTTCTGTTATATACAGAGCTGCTGCTAGCTTTTTAGATTTTGAGCTATCATACTTCCCAAAGTTTGACTAGGGAAATCTTCCTATTTTTCAATCTCTTCTATTATCATAATCGTGCTGTTTATATAAAATGGTCAATTTTCTATAACTCATTTGCTCTATTTGGGAAATTCTGGTTAATTAAATTCCTCATGTTCTCAACAGAAAACTGCAAGTGCTCACCAATACCAGAGCCAAGCCTCCCAGCGCTACACCCCATCTACTGTCACTACAAACCCGCCCCCTGACATCCACAAGTACACACTCTACACAAGCAACGTCAGGCAACAGGTAAAATCAATTCCTCAGCTGCTCAAATGCTCATTTCTGAATAATGTCACTAGCAAGGAACTGCACACACGCAACACCCAGTTGGGCAGTCAGGGGAAGAATGCCTGTCTCAGTGTGGAGATGAGAGACCAGTTGCCATCCTCAAGGCTGAGTTCTGTATGGTCTGTTGGCTTGCCACAGTGGTGCGGTTGGCAGCGGAGTTCCAGATGAGAGGAGAATATTTTATGATTGGGCGTGTGTTTGTGGTAATGGTATTTTCCTTAGAGAAATCCCTGTAGGTGCGGATGTGCGTGGTGCCGGTCGCCTTTGTAACTGGTCGTGATGGGGGAGGGGACTGCTGCATTGTGTATCCCAGGTAACTCTCGGAAAATTTGTTGATTGGTCCAGGGTAATGATTAAATTTATAATGGAAAGGCCCATGCGCGGCTGATCGGTTCGATCAGCAGTGAAAAGTGTGATGGAGGGTATCGTTTCACACAGAATCAGTCTGACATAAATGAAAGGATATCTGTCAGGTCCGCCTGTGCAGCATTGAGCACAAAACGAAAACTAAGATGGTAAGGCGTATGAAACACTGTTTGAGACTAATGTGGAGGAAGTTGAGGGGCACAAGTAAAATAACTTATCCCTAGGGCAATCCTACGTGGACTGACCTGAAGAGAGATCAGGTTTTGCAATAGAGGCAAGATTATTGCCTGCCTTTTAGGGTACAGTTAAGCCAGTGGACGAGATTGGGGTGGAGGTCATATGCTTAGAGGTGGCAAGCGCTTGTCAGTGCTGTTGAATGTAAATGGCGGCTACTGTGGTGCGGGCTGGCAGTCACGCTGAGTTGAAGCCCGTCTCATTCGAATATGCAAGAAGTAGGAGAGCAGTGACAGCTAAATAACAAAGTTTGAAGCCATGCTGCGACAGAGCAATGACAGGAGAGTCTAAAAGTTTTGGAACAATGAGCGACTCTTAGACTGCTGGGGCCACCAGAGGTGAGAAATGACGTGGTATGAGGATCATGAGCTCTTGAATTTGTAGGCTTTGTAATGGGAATGATTATTGAGTTCTTCCGAATGGCTGAGATACATCATACAGGGTACTGATTTGAAAAAGTGAGTGGGGATCTGAAGGTCAGGTACTTCAGATGGATCACGGTAAGGCCCGTCTGTTCCTTGGGCGGAAAAGTTGCTGGTGTCGTTGGTGGCCACAAGCAATGTCTATCCAGAGAACATCCAAATAGGATGCAACGCGCAGTCTGGGTTGTGAAACCGTGAATGTGGAGGGACAGTACAGGATCTGGCATATTTATGGTAACGCATGTTTTTCTTATTTCCCAATGAAACAAATTGGTGAATTAATTTTTCATTGGATGAGCCAATGGCCAAGAACTAGGCACCTAAACAATTTTCAAACGTATTTATTCAATGTGACCACCATGAACTAACTGGCCGTTATGACTGAATGAGACTCAAAAGATGCCAGCACATTCTGAGTCTCACTGAGGATGGCATGCTGCCCAATTTGGTGTCCAGTGACGAGAAGAAATTTGAGATTGAACAAAGCGTTAGCCATCAAAAGGTTAAAGCGTAGGTTGAAGTCCGTCGTTAAAAATAAGTGTGGTCAATTTGAATAAATATGTTTGAGATTTGTTTGTTGACTGTTGATTTACCGATTTGTTGAGTGACTGCAAAAATGGCCATCTCTTAGTTGAAGTATTTTGGTGAAATCTGGGATTATTGGGGTGCCGAGCTCTGATCATGTCCCGTTGCTCAAGGAGCCCCAGGCAGCCAGGGTCTGTGGAGAGAGAAGTCTTTCCTAAAGCCGGAGACGATGAAATGTTTTGGCGCTGATACCATGAGGCCTCTTAGTCTTCATTGTCCCTCACTAGTCCCGGACTATCTCAAATGCGACCGTAAAATGTGTGTGGAGGCAAAGTTTAGGGTTTCAACAAGTTTCAAGGAGGAGGTGTGCGCCGACGATTAAAAGGTCCGCTGATGGAGCCGTCGATGACTATCGCCTTGGCAGCGAGATAGCTTAGCAGCTGAAGCGCTTGTAATCATAGGGTCACTAAACTAACTAACTATCGCCTTGGCACACCTCTGTGGTGGTCTATGAAGCAGTACCAGGATGCATGATGGGATGAATGTTTGATAGGTATAAAGAAGAGGTAGTACAAGCAGCCACCAAGAGGGATAGTGGGCCGAAGCGGCCGTGATTCCTTGACCCTTACTAGAAAAACGGAGATGCATCCTCCAGCGCACATGATGTCAGCGGTGTGGGCCTCCTCTGCCATGTGGCCTGGTAGCAACGTCAGCCAAGTCAGCCAGAGTTTCAGTAGGGGGCGCAGACTAGGATTCTCCCAAGACGTAGATGCAGAAGAGATCTGGGGCTGGTGATAGTTCTTGAATTAAATGTGAATCAATTACTGTTCTGTAGCATATATCGACAAAAGTGAAATTGAACTTTTGTAAAACGCCATTCGTAACGAAAGCTTGTTCAATACTTTCTTTAAAGCTATCACGAGCAAAATTTTAGATAGTTTGTATCACACAGCGCACGAGTTCCTCTGCACAATTTGACTGAGACGTAACGAACGATCACGACTACTGCAAATGAAGGCTTAAATTAGCAGGACCCCAATAAATTGATGGGAGTTGGTTTCGTTTTTGCAGACGTAAGGCATCACTCCGTAGAGATGTGTTATTCTGAGAGGAAATTCACGTATTTACCTTACTCGCTCGTTTCAGGTCGCTTTTGCTAAGGAATTGCACAGTCTTCTCGTGGATGCCACATCTAGTTTGGCAGCACCTTTGCCTCCTCCTCAGCGTCCGCAACCGCAGCACCATGACTCCATCACAACAATGGATACTCAGTCATAATCACTCTTTAAGTGCCAGCACCATGCCAAACACAACTTTATTTTGACTCTTGAAACTCCAAGCCTAGCCTCATTCTGTTGTCTTGCAAACTAAACCTTTTATTTTGAAATTCTATTTTCCTGAACTATTTTCATGAATTCTATTTTCCATTAATGAGCTTCTGGTCAGGTTATCAAGTTAAAAGCAGTTAGCAAACGTTTAAACTTTTATTTATTTTTACAAATATTTTTCGTCTCAACTTCTTCGAAATAGTTATAGATGAAAAAAAAATAATGAATGTCACTCGAGTTCTATCAAGTATTAGCCTGTTCATCTAATGCGACTTGGCAATTGACTGAATTCTCAACCAACTTCATGCGAGTCCAAAGTTTATCAGTACATATAAATTTTGGTTACGCCAACTCTATTGAAAATTGCGCTTCTCATCTTGCCAATGATCGGGTAATGGTTCTGAGTTACGATAGCTGATAAGACAGTATTTCGTCTCAGTAATCAGTTGACCAGATAAATTATCAACTGAGCTCTGCTCTCATTTATCTTGGCTTTACTTGCTCACATTAAATGTATCTGGTGTTTTTTTTTTTCTCCGTAGAATCTAAGTAGTGTGTATATAAAAAACCTACTGCTTCGTATTTTCAATATTTATTTATTACTTTCTAAGTGTAGCTATTTTTGTACGAAAAGATATTATGCGTTAGCATATAAAATGATAATTTCACTGAAGGATTTTATCTCTATATTTTTATATAGTCAGCCGAACAATAATGTTTGATAATGTAAAACTTCTAAAATAAATGCATAAGAAACGTGCAGTGTGCTAGCATTTCATTTACTATTAACGTCATTAGCTGAAGATTTTGAATCGTTCGTTGAGATTATACACATAGAATAGAAGTGTCGACACTGAAGAAATAGGTCCATGGCCTGTTGCCACATGGTCTGAAGACGTATTTATCTCGCTTTTCAATAAATTGAATTGAAATTAAAGAAGATTTTTAATGTAAATTGTGATACTTTCCAACAAATTCATTTTTCCTGTGTTGCTTTGTTGTTCGACTCGTGCAGCATGTGCGTTTTTAACTTGGCGTCTACACCTCACTGCGCCTCGGTTGACAACAGCGCTAGCATGCGTTTCAGACTACAACCTGACGCGAATGGGTGCTTGGTGACTGGCAAATTTCAAATCAGTGGTAGAGTACAGTTTTATTCCACCCATCACATTTTCCTCTGCACTGACTTCAACATTTACTTTCAAACTTGACAAATCATTGCTGAATAGTAGGTGTTCTTTTTTTGGTAACTTGTATGCGTATATCTTGTTTATTTTTCGCTTTGTCAATAGACATTGTTGGCTCTATGAGTTTATAACCCGATTCATTGAAACTTCGTGATTCGTTTCTAAGGCAAAACCTCTTTCTTGTATCTCAGAATTTGCATACGGTCGGTCAAACCACATCTTGATCATGTAATGAAATTTCACACAAATTCCGCACACGCTAGCTTGAGTTGCGTAGGTGGCAGTTGCGTGGCGCTGTGGATTAGTGGCCGAAAGAGGGCGCTGCTGTCCGCGTCAAGACGCGAGTTGCTCTTCCCGCCAAAACCGGTCTGTCGCGAATACCTCGTCTTCACCATTCTTGCTTGATTTTGGTGCAATTCTAAGCCATCACCCCGAACACATGATTTTTTTTAACAGCTTCAAATCCTTAATGTAATAATTATGTGGTCCATAATAGGCGCATTGAGACACGTGTCTCACAATCATCATTTACTTCTCCAAGCTACTGGAAGTAAATATGTTCGGAATTCACATTGTCATTTGTCACGATACAATATTCCCGAAGAATTTTTTTAGCAATCTATGTAAGTGGTACGCTTCGCGAGTTTTTGAAATGAGGAAGATTGCAAATGTGCCAATGAATGTCGTCAGAAACAACATGTTCTTTGTTTGGAACGTGAAAAATTAGGTTAAAGTTATCATCCGCCACCATATGTATCGTAAGCAACTAAAAAAAGTAACTATGAAAGTATACTGAAAAGCGCGATACTATTCATTTTGATTTTGTAAACTTATATACGGGCTGGAATTAATTTTTGCAAGAAACTTTGTTGGTCAAACATATTATTTTTACCTGTAATTTTTTTTTGTCGTGCAGCAAGCTTACTGCCAATTTGCCTGCTTACAAATCAGCGTCTTTCTTGTCATATTATGACAATGATATTCTATTCAGCAATGATGATTGTGCTTGAAATTAAAATAGAAATCTTTCTTGAATTCTTGCCGCATCTTGTGTGTCTCAGCCTCGAGCCATGGTGACTCAGCATTTCCTCGGTTCCCTTCTCTTTAATCTCGTCGCTTCTGCTTCTTCGTATTTCACGTGGGCCTTACTGGTAATAAATATTCGACATTATTTTCCTGGGTCGTAACTACTCAAATTACGAATATTTATTTATTCTGACAAAACTTATAAATGCGCTTCAGTGATATTACATGATTGAATATCAATTCAGTAAATAATTTTAATTCTTATTGCAATTCCTCATATAATACCGCATCACTGATGCTTGCTGTGTTACGAAGTATTATTCTATTTTTTTTTTTTTTTTGTAGCATCAATTTCTAAGGTTCTTATGATATATTTTTTCAACTCAACTACCTAGTTTTGTTTTGTTCAGGTAGCAGATAAGTATCCACACATATTTTTCGCGATAGAAAAAGTAATACCTGCTGTGTCCGTTACTTTTCTAGAGAGGTTTTAGTCATCTGTTATATATACGATGTTCTATGCTTCATGAGTGAACTTGTGCTACTTGGTGAAGCTCTTCCGCCACCACAGCAACGCTCCACGGGAGCAGCAGCGGCCGAGATCGATAGTGAGGTCGCGACTCAGCATCTCGGCGGGCGGGAGGGAGAGAGAGTAGGGCGGAGCAGGTGGCTTACACGACTTGTTTTTCTGCCTCGTAAAGAATAAACTTGAACGTACCATAATGAGAAAAACGTTAAAGTATTGTTATTTGCTTCATAACAGCCGCGAAACGTACTTTAATGATATTTTTAGAGCATAGTGTGTGGACGCGAGAACCGAGATAGAGAAACCAAGCCAAGTCGTTTTAGCGCATTCATTCGACTGGAGCGAAACTGAACGCACTTGACGATACGATATCAACTCCTGCTGCACTTCATGTCAGCATTAACACATCCAACAAAAAAATAATTTCATAACGTATCATCATTTGAATTTTGCATAGGCCTGTAATTACAGAGTAAGAAATTACTAATACCTATAAACGAGTTACGCGCCAGACCACAAATGAACGCGGCATAGATTTTGTGATGCAACGGGCGGGTGAGGAGGGGGTGAATTGAGCAAGAGGAGGTAGGGTGGGCGGCGTTCTGGCAGCTCCAGGGAGACCGGCTGGGCGATGGCAACATCGCAGGCTGTAGGGTTCACAACACAATAACACTTGATGTGTTTTCAAAGTTGAACCTATACTCTTTTGTAGAATAATGATCTTTATCGTCGTTTGAACTACTCCAGTTTGAATCGAGTTCGAAACCACGTGGTATGGAATTCACCGGGATTATTTATTGTGCTTTTAAACGATGTTTAGGGATTAAAAGTTAGTAATTTGATAATAAGTTCTACCAAAGTATCTGTTGAATCTGTGAGGTATCGCTTCAAAACTCTGCATTGTATGCTCTCACTGCAGAGTTGTAAGGATTAAAGATGACACCGCCAGCAGAGAGACCGTGGTTGCAGGGCGGGCAAACGATGCAGGTGCTTGTAAAGAGCAATGTGTGCGTGAATGATGACCGCGCATGTGCGTGAATGGTGAGCGTGCGTGTGCGTGAATGATGAGCACGCGTGTACGTGAATGATGAGCGCGCGTGTGCGTGAATGATGAGCGCGCGTGTGCGTGAATGATGAGCGCGCGTGTGCGTGAATGATGAGCGCGCTGTGTACGTGAATGGTGAGCGCGCGTGTGCATGAATGGTGAGCGCGCGTGTGCGTGAATGATGAGCGCGCGTGTACGTGAATGGTGAGCGCGCGTGCATGCGCATGAATGGTGAGTGCGCGTGTGCGTGAATGATGAGCGCGCGTGTGCGTTTGAACAAGCACGCAAGTGCGGGATGGTAGCTAACTAGGAAATAACTGAGTAACGCAGAGCCTAACAGCCACATCTGCATCCGCCTCTGTGAGTGCTCGTTTTCCGCGCTTCGTGAAGTCAATTATCCGGTGTTAACAAGTTTCTGGCTTAGTTGTTATCTGCAATTTTTGCATTCAGCCACGGTAAGCAAATAATTTAAATTCAAATCAATCATCATTGCAATAGCTTGAGTTGCATATATATCCTATAATACTGATTTTTTCTATAAATAATTCTTGGCAAGAGTCAATTTGGCTATTTTGGTAACTTATAATGTTTGTATTAATTGTATAACTATTAATTTTGTCATATCTGTTAGCAATCGGCTTACTACTCGTAATATGCAATGAGCTTTACGTTAGTAATATTTCTTAAATGCTTACAATGGTAGCTTCAAATTATATTCTAATAACGAGACGAGTTTAATTAAAGCGTAAGCATTCAGTGGCCGGCAGTGAACTAGTTTTAAGATTAATTGAATCTTATTGAAGCTGTTTTTATGTCTTTGTTTTTTTATTAATTAACCTCGCTATATTAGCCGACGGTTTATTGTTGAAAATTCTTTTAATAATTCCATTTATCTGCATTACAAAGTTATCATCGTACATAAATTTTCCTGGTGATTCACACGTTACTCTTACATACAAAACACAAGCAAGCATGAAGAGTGTATAAGTTGTAATGAAACGTATTCAACCACATTGGACTAGTCTTCAGAGGCTCCCGTAAATCGGGGGAAAAACGTCTTCAACCGTCGCAAAAACCATTAACTGCATCTACAGCCTGGCAACCTGACCCGAGATAATTGTAGGAGCTCATTGCGGTGATTTGATGCCCAGCGATAACTTCACCGAATTTGACGTTCGATCATCCTTGAAAAGACAAGCCTGTGTTTATGGGGAACAGCTTTCGATCACAGCGACGTAAAAACGGAATATTTCCTCAGGCGATGAGCTAGAGACAGGTCCAGCCCGTCGAAGAGCAATTTAGTTTGAATCCGTTTAAAAACTGTATTGTTTATAAAAGCGTTTGCCCACCTAGCGAGAACGGTGGGTGAAGAGACTTGTAGCCCAACCTAACCTTAATTAGGCTATGCGTGCGCGGCTAGAATTCAGTCATTGCACATGTGAATAAATTTACCCACACGTGCAAAAGTATGATGTCTGATGTTGATCTCTTTTGCCGCTGCCCTTAGGCGATGCAGCTTTGGTGATGCCCAGCAGAGTTATTTGTATGCAGTCAGACATGTTAAAAATATATATAAATTTCATGTCTTCATACCAAAATAAAGAAAATTCTTTGTGCAATAATGTATTTGTGTACTTGGTGAAACTGTTGTGGAAAGTCTTGCATTTTTTCAGCTCGTGCATGCATATGTATCAACGTCGTGCGCCTGTCTTTGCCCAAGTCTCTTGTTCTTACTATAGTGCACAAAAAGCATTCATGTCTCACCACCATACGGGCTCCGTAGTCCGTATACTCTGAAGACGTTGATTTTTAGAGGTCAGTGCTCAGTAAACAAATTTAATTAATTAACACCTTGAGATAGTTTTCAAATCTGATAAAATTAACTGACCAAACCAAACCACTTGCCCCTTAAGGCGAAAACTTATGATCCTGTAATGAGAAAATTTTGATTTTCATCCCGGCGCTCAGCAAGCTCATTCCACGCTTGCTGCAAAGCCACCATACAAGCAGTGCTTGGTAGGGACCGACTCAGACCATAGCAAGCAAGATATGCAGGCAGGCAGTGTCTTGCAAGCATGGACGAGCGTCGTGCCTAGCGTCGCCTGCCGCCTCAAGTGTACAAGCTTTGTTGCTCTCAGGACCTGTTTTTGGTGCGTTGCTTGCTGGCTGCGGGCACCATTAAGTGGTCAGGGCTCCTCGGAGCAGGTTCTTGCGTTGAGCGTCTTCTTCTAATAACTTCAATCAATGGAGTGTCGTGTCTAAAATGACGAACGTTGCAGGGAGTCTAAAATAGAACGAAGAAATGGAAAAGTAACGTAAAGCTGAAATCAGTGCCACATCGATCGAGACGTTCTGGTGTATCTAAATAATACAGTATACTCAACTATGCTCAAGTCAATGTAATTGAAAATAAAATTTAAAAAATTCTAACATGGACGCACATTCTAAAAAAAGATGAAAATGGTAACCCGCTACGTGTTTCTGTATTATGTTTAATATCCATCAAACGCGCCAAAAATCGTGATATACCGGTAACAGATGTAATCGTCTGAACTATATTTTATTTGCACCGCACTACGTCATATTTATTACCTTATGCTCTTGCAATCATCAAATCATTAATTTTCATTAGCTTGTTTGATTACTATGAGAATTAATATTCCCGACACGAAGTTTTTTTTGCGCCGGAAACACGAAATACCTTCACTTAATGTCGTTCTGAATAATTTTGATCGGCCGCGCCCTGGCATACGATATATTTTAACACGCATTACATTGAGACTATATTCGGACTTTGAGAACAACTGTACATGAACTACCAAGTAATTTGGTTTGCATGTGATTTCTAGCTTTTTTCCAATTTATTATGGCATTGGTGAGTTTCCTTCGTATTGAATTTTTTCTATATCGCATTACCAAACCGGAAACATTCATGTCAGATTTTAGTCGCTTCGCATAATCTGTAAACCGCCATTCCAGAAGGGAAGAATCCGTGGCTAACCCAAAAAATTTAGAATCATTTCCTGTGTAGCCCGAAGACTGACCATAGGCCATACCCATGGGTATGCAGTTGGGTGGGTTGCTGTTGGCTTTATTACGAAATGTCGCCGGTGAACACTTTCTATCACTGGTATTATCTATCATCTTTGACTCTTCTATTATGTCCCCTTGCCATAAACTGTCCTCAATAGCGCACACAAAAAAAATTAAATTTCGCTTCTGTCATTATTTCAGTTGGGTGGGTTGCTGTTGGCTTTATTACGAAATGTCGCCGGTGAACACTTTCTATCACTGGTATTATCTATCATCTTTGACTCTTCTATTATATCAGTTTATTCGTTCATCCCCTTGCCATAAACTGTCCTCAATAGCGCACACACAAAAAATTAAATTTCGCTTCTGTCATTATTGAAAAGCTACGCGATAAAGTACGCGATAAAGCTTTGAACGCCATCGTTCAAAGTAGAAAAATTTTCCGAAATGCATAGATTTAATGTTATAAAGTCAATGGAATGGACGCGAACCCACTTTAACTCAAATCATTTCTACTTAAAAAAAAATGACTTAAACTTGGGTGATTTATGCCCACGTGTGCGTCTGAATTGCCAATACAGCAAAAAGTTCATCCTCATTGAAGTTTCGTCTCGCTCTTTGTTAGCCCAACAAACACCGTAACTAAGGGTTAATCCCTCAGAAGTTTTTGCTTGTGCCTCCTTGAATGCAGAAATATTGAAATAGAATTATGCACGACGACGCTTCGACACGCGGTTGAAGCTTGAAATAGTTTCAAATCATAATTAAGTTCAATCGAATTTAAACGAAAATTTTTGATAATTATAATTATAAATGGTAATTTTAAGGTCGATATGGAAAACAAGAGTACACGAAGTGTTTCGATGGCTCATTAAATGTGCTTAATCAGATATTCATTTCGTTTGTGCATGAGAAACTTATTTGAGCGTTAATTAATATGACATCATTCCTCACTATACAGAGAACAGACTGTGTAAAAAAAAAAAGAGTTATATCAAAGGAAGCTGGTTCGTTGTGAAGGACTTTCGATTCGTGACTCATCGTTTCAATGGATCCCATGTATTTCAACGCTTGGTGAGTAGATACAAATCATACAATTAACAATCATTAAATGACATCTCATTTATTGTTATCGATACAAAACGATGAGATTATAAAGTGGCATTTCTGGCATACACTGAACAATTGATTTTTGTGGATTTTTTTATTGGTTGCTCGAAACAGTCAATGACAGTTGAAACATTAATGGCAAATTGTTATCTTTGTGAATGCTGGTAACTTTGGACAGAACAAGATGATACGTCTATCTTTAAAGGTGATACGTCTTTTAGTCCGTTATAGCACTGCTTGTGCATGGATTCGAACACACCGGACGCCCTGCTCAGTGCCTACTTAGTTCACCAAAATGTTCATAGTAGTTTGGGATTTAGCTCCTTTACCTCAAACTTCCCCAATAAGCTTGTGAGTATGCAGAAAATCACTTATCCTTATTTCTTCAAACAAAACCAATTAACAAATCAATGCCAAACAACGCTTCAACAGAGCATTTGGTCAGCTTCAAATTTAGGCGCCACATGCAAGTGCCAGAAAGTTTCGTAGCGCCAGAAGATATCGTTCAATGGTTACAAGGCGCGACTGCGAGTGCCAGAGAGTTTCGTTGAGCTAGAACTTATCGTTCAAAAGTAACAATGCACCACGGTATTTCGCCGTTGAATATCGACGTCGTGGACTCCCTAGCTCTCCTTCCCTTGTTGCCTCCATCATCTAGTGATTCTAGTCTTTACTACATCTACACCTGCTTTGTTAGTTCGGAACCAGTTTTGGGTTGACCAAACTGTTTTTTTATTGATGCTAAATTGTTGTTTAACCCCTTATTTATTCCCACCGTTGGTGCACGTTTTACTATTTTGCTACAGATGGGCAGAAGTTCCCCATTTATGCAATAACTTGGTTAGAGACCACAGTGATTTCTATTAATGATCATCTTGTTTGTTCTTCTATGAGTCGAATGATCTTTATTGCTATCGTTTGCAGATCAAAAAGCACGTTAACAGAAGACATTTTATAATACGCCGTTCCAAATATACAATGTAATGAATATTCATTATCAAGCGATTGATGGATTTGAAACACATGAATTTGAAATTTTGTAACATAAGTACAAAGTAGTTTAACTGTTTGAAGCATTTTTATTTCTAGATATTTTTATCAATGTTTAGCTCTGGTAGGTACTCAGTGCATTTGGCTTTACATTAATTTAGTTTACTACAAAATATGGAATATAATGTGTTGAACATTCTGTGAAAACGTTTTATCTTAGTCTCTGCTTTTTCATTCAAATTATAAATCAATTTAAATCTACGTGGCCGCTAAGCAACATTTATATTTTTTTCATAAATTATCCACAGCCCGTTCAAATTCGACATTAAGTTTTACGTGAGATGTAAGATCAATATTTTAAATGATCTAGTGAGATTTTGACCAAAACAAGAAAATCTGTACTTATCCTTTGACTTATAATCAATCGTCAGTTATGGAAAGATCGGGTTCCAAAGGCCGGATCCCTTGTGAACGAAAATTCAAGAATCGGGCCGGATCCCCAAGTCACGAAAAATTCAAGAATCGGCAACAGGCCATGGGCCTATTTCTTCAGTGGCGACACTTTTATTCTATTCTATAGCGTCCTTCCTTTGTTCCTGAAATGCTCATCCAAAGTGCCTCCGCTCGAGCGGCGGGCGGGCGCTCTCGTGTCTTGCTTGCAGTTGCGCAGTTACGTTGACGCGTAGATTGGTTGCTCATCAGAGGAAACATTTCATAATTGACGCATTTCATCATCGTTAAATTTTATCCTTTACCAATGTAACCTTTCCTACATGCACTTACGTTTGCAAAATGTATTTTATGCAATGATGAAATCTTATGGTGGATTGCACTAGTGATGAAATCTCTCGTATGATGAGATGTCAGGGCACCATAGATTTCATGTTAGCCTACTCATGAATCAAATGACGTTGAGACAGAATTTAATTAATGTTGATTCACTGCCACATGTTTGCTGCTTTGATAATCGATAGCGGCATTTGTGAGCAGTAAACATTCTTATTTGCCTTAAAATTTTTTAGTTGTTTAGTTGAAATAAAATTAACTATGAAAATTATTTAGGAAATCCTGCTAATAAATTAATAAAACTTAAGAAGTGAGTTGTTCTTTATTACGACACATAAATATCGTAAATGACCTTTTGTAATGCCCCAACTAATCTATTGCAATATGTAATTTCTTACGTCTGACTGACCTACAGTGACTGCACCCATCAAGGTACATAAAATATTTGGGATTAATTCCAAACTTCATATTTAAATCGGCTCATACCAATCAAACCAACCAAACTTTTGAGTGAGCTTTGGCAAGCTCATGCATGCGATTATTTTGATGAGTACTATAGGTACTACAGTAAAAGTAACTAAGATCTGAGCAGATTTTAGTTGTTTTGATAATTGTCCATCCTGGTAGTGGCAACCATCTAAAGGAGAGGTGATATACTACACGTCGGGCGTTTGCTTCTTCCTAGGAAAGTTGCCTTTAGCAACATGGCTGTATCTTGTAGTCTCCCCTATCGACATGGAGACCAAGCCGAAGTCAATGATACACGTTTGAACGATTTCGGCGTAGAAAATGGCGGACGCGATAAATTTACTATTACTGTGCGATAATAAAGCAGTGTTATTTACGAAAGTTTAGCAAAAAACTTGCAATAACATTTGCTAATAATTTCATAATCTATATATCTACAGAAACAATTCAGAATTGCAAGTGTTGTATCTTTCATCCTCTGCGTGAGTAATTCATACGAAATATGTTGCTTGAGCCGGTTCAGATAGAATTTAGCTGCATTTATTATCAATTTTTGTAAGATTTCTTGTTAACCTGTAATATTCCTGTATAATGTTAACTTGTTAAGTAACTACGGTTGAAGCAGTAAATGTATGCCTAGCGTGCTTTAGACGTGAGGATTATTACGCACATTACAGCGCTATGGCAAACGTGAAGCTGACTTGAAATGCCGGGCGGAGATGTTTTACTTGTTGAAATACCTAACGTTTTCTGTACGTTTGTGAGTTTAGGCTACTGAGCTACTTAACATCCAATTCAATGACTTAAGTAGAATAATTCAGGTGTTACACTTGCACAAAACTCAACAGTCATAGTCATAGTGGCAAAGCAGATATTTTCTAGAATTAGGTAGGTAGTTAATTTTTAACATTTTTAATTGCTTCATCTACTAAAGTCTTGAGGCCAGGGTGCAGAGGGTGGAAGCAGGGTCACCCATAGTGACAAACCAGAGATTTTTTAGAATCAGTTCATTTTTAATTTCCTCATTTACTCAAGACTTAAACCAATTTTTTATGTATGATAATGATGGTAGGGTAAACGCGGTATATTCCGACATCGTAGGTAATTCCGTCACTTCTCTAGTTTTTCCTTTATATTAAGCTTTGTTTTAGTTCCATGCGTTCATTGATGGTTGACATAGTGGCAAACCATAGCTTATTTGGAATCAGTTCATTTTTAATTTCCTCAATAACCTGAGATTTAAACCAATTTCTTAAGTATGGAATGTGGTATCGATGATCCTTTTACACTATGATGGTTGAAATAGTGACGTCATACATTTGCGTGTCGAAATACTGCAAAAACACTAGGTCTTGGCCATCTAGTGGGAAAATATTGAGATCCAAATCATCTAGTTTGGCAGCACCTTTGCCTCCTCCTCAGCGTCCGCAACCGCAGCACCATGACTCCATCACAACAATGGATACTCAGTCATAATCACTCCTAAGTGCCAGCACCATGCCAAACAAAACTTTATTTTGACTCTTGAAACTCCAAGCCTCGCCTCATTCTGTTGTCTTGCAAACTAAACCTTTTATTCTGATATTCAATTTTCCTGAACGGTTGCCTTATGTAATATCATGAACGCCTAACATGAAAAATAGAACATCCAGAAATTTTGATGTTTTTCTCCAACAAGAAATTTTCGTCACACATTACCCGCAGTAAATATGCGATGGCCCTGAATTAGTAAGCTTCCTGCGATGCAATTTTATTTGTAAAATGTACATGCCTCCCAGTCAATCAGCATAAATTTTACTTAGTTTTCTATTATATACATTCTTGGTGTGATACTTTTGCAACCAAAATATAATGAGCTTCTGGTCAGGTTATCAAGTTAAAAGCAGTCGACCGCGCTTCAAATTGTACTAATACGTAATTCTGACATCCACGTGTTTGAATTCCGATCGCTGTGTGAGCTGTATTGGAATACGACACGGCTTTGAATTAGAACACTATTGAATATTGAGCACAACTTAATTAGGCTTTTAAAATTAACAGTTATTAAGCTTTTATTTAAGAAAATTTTAATTTTTGCACACAGCTTGGAACGAGCTGTGTGTGTCCAATTCAAGTTGTGTCGGAATTAGTTTTTATGTGTCTAAATGCGTTTCTCAACTTAATCATCTATTAATTTATTTACCACTCGAAATCAGCAAAATACAAGTGTACCTAAAAGATTCCTAATATATTCACAGACGTATTTAAAAGTCTCAAACCATAATATTCTTTCTACACAAACAGTTTATCACTATTTGGTAGAGCAAGGTCAACTGTCAACTTTGACACATTTTTCGATGATCTCATTGGTGGCATTATGGATTATTGGTGATCTTTGGATCTCAACATTTTCCCACTAGATGGCCCAGAAATATCCTGCAGAATGTAAGACAAGTTAACCCAAAACAATTCCTTGAAGACCGCACTGCCATGGTCACGTCTGAGCGGTCAGACTGCATTATCACTTGTTCAGTTGCCACTTAAGTGAAGACAAATGTTAGGCCTAGCTTTGCTGTTTGACTTTTTTATTGTAAAATTAGAGATTTGAGGTAACATGTGCATGGACTTTGTAAATAAGTCTGCAGATTGTAAATGGCTATTCTTCATGGCCAAGATATGGAATTCATAGCTCAAAAAACTTTAATCATACCAGGCAAACCCATAAAAAACACAGCTCAAAAAATTTAGTTGGGACTCACCATTCCATGTCTGTGGCCAGCCTACCATGAACTATTGAATAGAATGAACAAATTTTACTAGCCTCAACCAGAATTGTTTCTTAGTGGCTAGTGCCAATAACAATTTAGGATATTGCAGGTTGTAATGTTTGTTTTATAGGGGATTCCAAAATATTTTTGGCAAAAATGTTATATTTCATACATTTGCTAAATAAATTAAAAAGGAGACATGGAAGTGGATATAATTGTGTGATCACAGTTTTTTTGGGTCATTCATGTGGGGTACCAGGGTGCAGTTTGACAAACGAGTCGCCAATTTTAACCTTTGTAGACCAAAAATGTTGCCAAGAGTACCCAAGATGCATTGCCTGCAGTCCTCAAGATGCATCCTTCACAGTCTTCAAGATGCATTGCTGGCTGTCTTCACGATGCATTGGCAGCAGTCTCCGAAATGCATTGTTGCATTGCTGGCAGTCTTCAAGATTCATCACCGCATTGCAGGCAGTCTTCAAGATGTGCTGCAAACATAATTTTCATCAAAATTCTTACAAGACCAACTTTGATGAGTGTATTTTAAACACCCCAGATATTGTAATAGGCAATTGCACCACAACCAAAATGACCAAATTGTGGATTGTGCTTTGCAGCTTCATCTGTTCTATGGTTAGCATCAGCATAGATTTGCAAATATCTAAAATGCCATGATTTCAATCCAAATGTGTCACCAAAATATTCCAAAGTTGCAAATTTTTCTGCTGGTGCATCACTAAAGATCTTCAGACATTCATCCACTTTCTGCTGTCTAGGCTGGGTAGAATTCATGATACACTAGAAATTTAAAAGTAAAGAAAGCTCCACAAAAATTCAGCATATTTATGTTGAAAACGTTTTGGAGACCAGCTCCATTGTCAGTTTGATAAATCTAGAACACAATTACAGTCAGAAAATTAATAAAGTTTGGAGTCAAAAGAAAAGAACACAGAAGTTAAAAACCTAAATTTACAGGGGTAAGGTAGGTTTTACACAAAGGGTAGAATAATTAAGTAAATACCTATCTATCTGTTTGGCGTGAGTTCGCACAGCCAAATGAGGAGGGCGCAATAGTAACTGCCCAGTCCTATAACTCCTCCCTCTATGCTCAGCAATCCTAGTGTAAAGGTTGCATGCTGTCATCCCAATGTTATCAGATGCACATTGTGCACAACTAAATTTATAAACTAGGGACGATTGCATGTGGGAAGGGAAGATATCTTTGTACCTAGAAAATTAACATTTTTGAAATTATTGACCAGTAAGATACAAAGGTTAATGTCTGGAAAGTATTTCATTAACGAATCTTTTAATTCTCTTGACATAATTTTGGACACATGGCCAAAGTATGGAAGAGAACAGTAAGCAATGTTTCTACTGTCAGGCACTGGAACAACTTCAGTATATTGCTTAGATGTGAATTTTTTAATCTGGGTAAACACCAAGCCAGAAGGAAATCCATTAAGCAAGAAGATACCATAAAATGGGGTAACTTTGACCACTTTTTTTTCAAGATGTCATTTTTTTACTAGATAAGTTAAACTTGAATTGAAACATGCAAAATACAGGTCTATACTCTAGCTTTACTCACCATAAATTGCTGTCTCCTGCCTCTCATAGTTTTGATGTAATTTAAAAAAAAGTGATGGTCTTTGTTACCCCAGGTCCTGTGGTTTCTTTGACCGGGTGGTAAAATCAATTTTATTTTTTAGTAAAATAACTCCAAATAACTCCAGATGTTTAGGTCGTGATTATTTTTTAATTGCGCCTTTAATTAAAGGTACACAAAAAGCCTGTGCAAGAGGATAGGAGATGTTAGGCTCACTGTGAATTTAGAACCGTTTAAGGCGCACCAAAGGTGAAATTGAAAAAAATGATCATGACCTAAACATCACCGTTTTTTTAACATTTGCTAAGTTCATTAGTTTGAGAGATATTTTAGGCTTAATGAGGAAAATTAATTGATGCGGGGAAGAAGTGAAAAAAATGATCATTTATCACGTTCAATCGCTTGAGGGCATTGCGAATGAATAGTTTCGTTTGTAATTTGGTAAAGATTATTAAATTTGTCATGTAAGTTTATCTTGAAAATTTGTTCACAAAGTGTCGGATCAATATATCATTTGCGAAAATCCCCTCAACACAGTGTTTGCTCTAAATCAGGAATTAAATCGAAAGGGAAATCCGGATAGGCAAGCACTCGAACGTCTGTCTCCTCCTATGACAAACGCGCCAGTTATTTCTTTCCTGAACGAGAGAACGTAAGCTAAATATGAACTAGTCCAAACGGCCAATCATAGCTTGATGCGTGTTGTCGATATATGTGTTGCCAGCTGCAGCCTGCAGCCAGCCAGCAGTGCATTTTGAACTGGAGCCGCGTATGGTTGTTGATGCACGTGCTTCCAGTCATGCACTGTCGTCTGCCTCGATTCTACTAGCATATGAGTCAGAGGTGTCTGGTGCGTAAAAACTAAGATTTTTTGTTAGCTGATTTTAATGAATTGAATTATTATTGTTTAACATTCGCGTTCGTAAATTTAGTCTGCAATGCATAGGCTTAATTTGCGTTCAGAAATGGGATGTTTACCCTAAAAAAAAAACGTGTTCTCGATTGCCACCATGATTTCAAGATATGCAAATCGGAAGCACCAGAACTATAAGCTAAAACCTTAGTCAGTGTCTGACGCTGGAGCGTTGCACTGTTTGGCGTGAGTTTGCACAGCCAAATGAGGAGGGCGCAATAGTAACTGCCCAGTCCTATAACTCCTCCCTCTATGCTCAGCAATCCTAGTGTAAAGGTTGCGCGCTGTCATCCCAATGTTATCAGATGTACATCGTGCACAACTAAATTTATAAACTAGGGACGATCGCATGTGAGAAGGGAAGATATCTTTGTACCTAGAAAATGAACATATTTTGAAATTATTGACCAGTAAGATACAAAGGTTAATGTCTGGAAAGTATTTCATAAACAAATCTTTTAATTCTCTTGACATAATTTTGGACGCATGGCCAAAGTATGGAAGAGAACAGTAAGCAATGTTTCTACTGTCAGGCACTGGAACAACTTGACTGTATCGCTTAGATGTGAATTTTTTAATTGGGTAAACACCAAGCCAGAAGGAAATCCATTAAGCAAGAAGATATTGCACAGAAATTTAAATTCAGAATGCATGGCATAGAAAGTCAAGCAAATACAAAAGCTGTGGTGTAATAGTGTTTGAAGCCTGTTAAACTTGAATCTATAAAACAAAAACTAAAAAAGCAGGTGCTTAGGCCTGTGGAAGTTGATTTTCTGAAAACAGATGTTTGAAAATGGCCATTAGATTTAGTAATATTGCAGTCTAGAAAGGACAAACTATGGTTCGATTCAAGTTCAATGGTAAATTTAATAGAATTATGTTGCAAGTTTAGGTAATCAAAGAAAAGTTTTTCATGGGAGGGGTGCTTGAAAATAAGAAAGGTGTCATCGACGTATCTGTTGAAAAAAAAAATGATTTAAAATCAGAACAATTGTCAGCCATGAAACCTTGTAAAGTCGAGTTGAGAACCATGAAGTCTAGTCGAGAACCATGAAGTCGAGTCGAGACCCATGCCCAAACCGTCAATCTGTCTGTAAAATTTACCAGCAAATATGAAAATCAAATTTAGAACTGATAATTCACGCAGGGATTTAAAAAAATTGCTGTTAAAACCAATAACAGTATCATGAATATCTTTAAACAGAGTATTTAGACAGATCTCTATAATTTCAAAAAGCGGTATATTTGTAAATAAATTTTCTATGTCAAAAGAGGGCATTATTAAGTCTTGAACATCAGTAAAATCCCATAAGTGGTCAACAAAAGTATAAGAATTGTCTACTGTGTACTGGTTGGTTGTAAGACAGTTCAAGACAGGAACTGAGAACTTAGCCAGTTTGAAACTAGGGGTATTATATGCTGCAAAAATTGGTCAGAATTGAAACTTTGAGGCAAAATCAGACTTGTAAATTTTAGGCACTGTGTAGCGGTTCCCGGTAAGCCCGCACAAATATGAGAGACTTTATCTCTTGAGTCCTTGGTCATGGAACAAATACTGAATGTGGTCAGAAGGAGTCACATTCAGGAAGGCATGAAACATGGAAATGAAAATCATTCAACCCATGTGGCTAACTCTAATCATTTTGTCTACAGGTGGAATAATCCAAGTCCAACTCCTCACCTTGCAGCCAGTGGCTGGTACATGCAGAGTCCCAAAGTTGGCAGTGGCCTTCAGCCCCCTCCTCCTGCCCACAACATGTCTGGTCACCCATCCCACCCTCCTGCTGCAGCAGCTCAGCTGAACCACCCACACAACTCTGGCCAAACCCTACAGCAGATGGTGCCTCGTCCCATGCAACAAGCTGCTCCTGTCTACCCTGGGAATCTCCAACCAAGGCCTGCACACACTGGAGCCTTGCCCTCAGCAGCTAATGTGACAGCCACAACTATCCCGGGTGCTGTGGTACCACCAAAGCTGCCTCAACTTGCGCCTGTTACCACTGACTCGCCATATACTGCTACTGCTGCAGTCCAAAAGCCTCCTCCTCAACAGCAACCACTCCCTCACCCACCATTTGCCACACCAATTACATCAGCTGCAGCAAATCCCTCTCTTCAAACAACACAATTGCAGACACCACCACAGCAGCCTAAGCCCCCAGTGCTGTCTCAGCAGCCAAAATCCGCAGCTCCTGCACCACAGCAGCCTAAACCTCCTGTATCATCCACTCAGCAGAAAACTTCAGTTGCACCACCTACTTCTGTTCCCATTTCAAAGGAGAGTTCTGATCAAGCTAAGATGATATCTCAAATAGGTGCTGCTGTTACATCTGGAACATCAAATGCAGCACAACAACCAAAAGCACAACAAATTCCAGGCCTCCTTCCTGTTACTAGTAATTCCGTCCAGGTTCCTGCTGCTGCTAAACCTGCTGTGACATCTACACCCAAACCTACACAACAAGTGCCACAAGGTGCTCCTCCAATACAGCAGGCTAGTCCACAGCCAATGGTACAGTCCAAGTCTTCTTCACATCAATCAGGAAATGTCAACACACTAGTTCATCAGCCACAAGCTAAGACAAGTGTTGCTAATGCTCCTCTATTACACACCCCGAGTTATCAGCCAAGCTCCAACAAGCCCAACTTGCCTAGTCTTACTAGCATCAACAAACCGCAGCAGCAGCCACTAACACCTCAGCAGCAACAACCACTGCAACAGCAGCCACCTCCACAGCAACCACCTCCACAACAGCAACAACCATCACAACAGCTACTACCATCACAGCAGCAACAGCCACCACAACAGCAACTGCCACCTCAACAGCAACCATCGCCACAACAACAACCACCACCACAGCAACCACCACCACCACAGCAACAACCACCACCACAGCAACAACCTCCACCACAGCAACAACCTCCACCACAGCAACAACCACCACCACAGCAACAACCACCACCACCACAGCAACAACCATCACAACAGCAACTACCTCCACAACCACCGCAACAACTACCACAGCAGCTACAACCCCTGCAAGCTACACAAATGCATCAGCCTCAACAACAAACGCAAGTTGCGGTGCCCCAGCAGCATGTACCACACCAGCAGTGGCCGCAACAACAGCCATGGCAGCCGACCCCACAGCAACATCAACAGCCACAGCAGCAGCAACAACAACAACAACAACTGCCTCCACAACAACAAGCTAAGCCTTTGGCACAACAATCACAGCCTGCAAAACCTCCTACTGCATCTCCTAATAAGCCCACTCATGTTCCACTGGCCACAGCTGCGGCTGCTGCCGCTGCAACAAAACCAGTTGCTGCTACATCAGCAACACCTGGTGCAAAACCCAATGCAGTTACGGCTCCTCCTGCCAACACCAAAGCTGCCACCACCACTGCACCTGCAAGCAGTTCTCCAAAGGTTGGTGCACCAGCTGCATCACCTCAGCCTGCTGCCGTAGTGAGCATGCAGCAGTCTGGTAGTCAGCAACAACAGCAGCAGCAGGCTCCTCAACAATCATTCCGTCCATCACCTCTGAGAGGAGCTCCCAGCGCTCGTCCTCCTGCTGCTGCAGGCTCTCGTCTGGAAGCGGCTACTGCCAGACTCACGGCCAATCAGCCCAGCGTCAATGGCGTTCAAAGCAATGCTCAGACACCAACCACTAAAATTTCTCCTGTTAAAGCCTCTAGTACAACAACACACACCGTGACTTCTGTCACACAGGCACCTGCTGGCAGAACAGTTGCTCAACCATCTGTTAATACTAGTAGTGCTATAACGGATACTGCTACTGCTGCTGCTGCTACTTCTCCCTCCAAAGCTCCTGCTCCATCTCCTACTCAACAGAAACCTCAGACCTTTTCACCTGTCAGAAGTAAAGAGGCAGTTGCTGGAGCAACACCTAATGGATNCAGCAGGCGACCTGCTGAGCAATACCAGAGCCCCAGCATTGATCCGGCAACATCCAAGCCTAGGAAAGTCAATTCAAATAAAGCGGAAGACAAACCTGAGGAGTTGACGGTCTTCTTCAGGTGAATATACTATCTTTTGCGGGGTTAGACGAGCAGGAATCTCTCGTATCTTGGTATTCGTTTCGGACGTAGCAGTCCCTGGCCATGATGGATCGCCGCCTCTCGTGGAGGGATTATCACGGCAATCAAGATATCAATAGGATATTTATAATCTCAATTACTTTCTTAAGATTTTTATAGCATATTTTCATAATCCAGCTCCTAGAAGTACTCAGTACTTGAAGTACCTACTCACTACTTGAAATACTCACTACTTGGAATACTAATTGAAGTACTATAGGCAGAAATAGATTTATTTACAACATTGATGAGCGATTTTTTGACAGAAACGAGTATCTGGCAGTACGGAATTCTGACGCGGGTTTCTACCTGTGCCAGTTTTTATAGCATATAATCCAGTTCTTAGAAGTTCTCATTGCTTGGAATAATCTATAATTGAAGTACTATAGGCAGAAATTTATTTATAACATTGACGGGCAATTTTCTTGACAGAAACGAGTATCTGGCAGTACGGAATCCTGATGCGGGTTTCTACCTGTGCCAGGCTTGCCAGAACGTCAAGAGACGCACCACAAGCTTCAGCATTCGCTGGCTCTCACCACAAGCCGACAGCCCTGACCTCTTCTCTCCTGACTACTACGACAAAACCGGCATGTTTTTACTAATTTTGTCACCAAGTTAGATCTTTGGACATTTATATGATGAAGTATGGCTGCAATTACTAATAAATTTACAATTTTGTTTTAACGGAACTAAGAAATATCTTGTGCTATGAAGTTGAAAATACATTTATTTTAAATCGATGTCTATTGTGTTACACCGTACACGTGTGGTTGTGTAATGATTAAATATTTCCTCCGATCATAAAACTTTCTTCCAAAAAGGTGACTTTCTTCTTTACCGTCAATCCTTCAGCTGTTTTTTGTTGCATCGGTCTTATTTCTTCTTCTATTGTTCTTAAGAGTAACGATTTCAAATACCATTCATTGTAGCAGTTTTTTTTTTAATAATTGGAATAGGATAGCTAACATAATAAAGAATCATCACTTTTGTCTGTTTGGCAGTGACAAATTCGAATTATAATCTGATTTTGTTGCTATTCTCTTCTACGTTATATAAGGAAATTTTAATAGTCAATTTTTATTAGCTATTCTATTGTGTGTTGAAATACGTCATCATTCATGAGTCGATTTAATTTAGAATCTCTCGTTTACTATCGTTTGAATCATAGTAACATGAATAGCTTGGTCGATGTAAATAAGTTATTCATAAAGACTTAATATACGTATTATAATATAAATATAAATGATGAATGAGTAATCCATGCTGTGCAGTGGACCTGTCGCTCTACAATGATGAGTCGCAGCTCAAGAAAAGGAAGAGAAAACCCGAGGACAACAATGACGAGGATGCTGAGGGTAAATCATTTAAAAGTAAACTCATATTTTTATTCTCTTCAATTAGATTTTTTAATATTGATTAGAAAATACTTGTGTCTATGGTATTGTTGATAGGATATCTTTATCTTGAATTATTTACTTGAAGGCATAAATCGTACAATACCTTTTCCTCCTGTTAGAAAATATTAGGTGTAAGAGCACAATGATATCTAGGGCACACGCTGATACATATAGCTATCCTTTTTGTAGCCCTGTATTATTGATGCAATCATATCTGTCTTATGATGATAAGCATTTGGCACGTCTTGTCTTTTGTATGTCACGCTTGACGTTTTTTGTGCAGGCTAGACGTTCGTTTGTTGTTGTTTATGACGTTTTATGTTTGTTCATGCTAGAGGTTTGTCGTTGACAAGCATCGCATATCCACCCTAAGGAAAAAAAGAAGATTTAACCTTCGGTTAAGTCTCCTTCTATCTGATCAGGGGAATAAAATAAAATATAACGATATAAATTATTCTTCTAAAACTGAATATTAGTTAGTCTTCTTCATTTCGACCAATAATGGAGAAGTAATTTGCTTCTCTAATAATGGAGAAACAAATGTAATGGAGAAGCTAAGAAGTATTTGCTTTTTAGTGAATGCATAAAATTCTTGTAGCAATGTCGACATCGTCATCCGAAAGCCTGAAGAAGAGCGTCACTTCTTCAGATTTCGAGGAGGAGTTCGATGACGATGAAGAAGAAGAGGATGACGAGAAGCCGAGAAAGAGGAGGAGAAGCACTCACAAGAGCCCTAAGAAGAGCAAGAGGAAGAGCAGCAAGTCCCGAGGGCGAAGAAGTACAAAAAGTGAAGCCGATAAGACGCCGGCCAAGGGGCGGAAGAAGGGCGGCCGAGGCCGCAAGGCTGCAGCTGCGAAGGCCGCTCCTGCTACCGAGGAGGTGGTGCAGAAGGAGGCCGTCGCTGCCACGCCTAAAGCAGGTCGGCTATGATTACTTTATTTATTGCATGTATAAAGTATGGGTTCGTATGAGTCTCAAATTTGCTCTGGAAAGGACCGACGATGTGGGCATTTCTCTGGAATCCAGGCAGCTGCTACTCGGAGTAGAAGGTGAAATAAGCGTTTTCATCACAATCGATTTTAATCCATCTTAAGAAAAGCATGGCGATATGAACATGGAACATGGGGGATCCGAATCGTGTTCCATGCTTTTGAGCTGCATCTTCATTCTTGTTCTGGAAAAATGGGGACACTTCATTATGACATTTTCATTTAATTTCTCTCCCTTTATTGTTCGGGCCTCATGATTACGATGCACTAGGTCTAACATTCGAAGCGTATTGTATTTCTTGAGAATGAAATCTCTTAGCTATGCTCCAAACATCACTTCTTTTGATGACTTTGATCTTGTAGTTGGAGAGCATGACACTTGAAAATATACTGCAGAGTAGAAAATTTGATTTCTTTTCTAAAATTTAAACTAATTCTCATTTTGAATTTCTACTTCGTAGATAAAAACGAGCATTCAAAACTATGTATGGTAATATCCGGTCTGGATTTGAAAGACAGACCAAATTCATCTCAAGAAAACAATGTTCATTTTCTCGATCCAGGGCAAATTTCACCAACACATTCGTCTTGTTATTTTATAATTAGCATGCAAACAAAATTGCAGTTTTGCTTCACGTGTGTTGCACGTCACTTTCTAGCGCACATGTTGGTGAGTCATGTTCTGGAGGATACATTTGATCTGGAGGATACATTTGATCTGTAGGATACATTTGATCTGGAGGATAAATTTGTTCTGTATGATGCATTTGATCTGGAGGATACAATTGTTCTGTAGGATACATTCGATCTGAAGAATACATTTGTTCTGAAGGATACATTTGTTCTGGAGGATACATTGGTACTGGAGGATACATTTGTTTTGGAGGATACATTGGTACTGGAGGATACATTTGTTCTGAAGGATACATTTGTTCTGGAGGATACATTTGTTTTGAAGGATTTATTTCTTTTGGAGGATATATTTGTTTTGGAGGATACATTTGTTTTGGAGGATACATTTGTTCTGGAGGATACATTTGTTCTGGAGGATACATTTGTTTTGAAGGATACATTTCTTTTGGAGGATACATTTGTTCTGGATGATACATTTGTTCTGGGAGTTACTTTTGTTCTGGAGGATACATTTGTTCTGGGAGTTACTTTTGTTCTGGAGGATACATTTGTTCTGGGAGATACTTTTGTTCTGGAGGATACATTTGTTTATAAATTTAGGACCACATTTAACGGGGTACATGAGCTTGCTCTGCATAGCTATAAAGCTGTTAATGCTTGAAATTCGCAAACTGGGAATAAGTAACTTGGATTTGAAGTAATAAGATAGGTACGGCTAAGACGTGGAACTTAGCCCTGTTGAGTGTGCCTAATAGTTTTAATTAATTTGTGTACTACACGCAGTTGATAACGAATAATAATAATTCTTCTAAGATCATTTCGATTGGGCAACTTGGCGATAACAAGAACCGAAAATTGATGTGTTCCTGTTGAAAGTCAAGTACCAGTCTATTACGGGGTAGAATAAGATAATGGAAACACCTGACATTTTGATTTGTTGCTGCTAGTTGATATTTTATCTTTGCACAGATATTTTTATAGAATTTTTGTGTCTATAACATAATCTATAAATGACAAACCTCTCTAACTTTCAAAGAAGCCAAATTGTTGGTGCCCGTATGTATGGCAGGTGCTAGTGTGACAGAAACTTCCCGAATGCTTGACGTTTTGAGAAGTTCGGTCTCAAAAGTAATGATTGCTTTTAAAATAAAATGAAAAACGTCCTCAGCAAAGCACAGGTTTGGCCGAAATTCGAAGTTGTTTGAGAGGGACCGTCGGTACTCTAATCGAATTGTGAGGGACAATCGAAAGACCACGGACGGCAATTGAAATTACTGCAGACCTCTATGGACACCTACAGAACACAGTTTCCATAAAGACTATCGGCCGAGAACTGCACAAATCTAGATTCTATGGAAAAGCTGCAATTAGAAAACCTCTGGTTTCAAATACAAATGCTTCAAGGCGTTTAGAGTGGTTTAAAAACCTTCAGAATTGGTCCCTCGAGCAGTGTAAAAATGTAATTTTCTCTGACGAACCATCGTTTTCTTTATTTCTAACCTCTGGCCGAGTTTACGTGTTGAGACAGCCAAACGAATCATTTAATTCCGACTGACTCCTTCCAACCTTGAAATAAGCGACGGATCTGTGATGATCTGGGGTGCTATTTCTTGGAAATCCGGCGGAACAATGATTTCTCTTCATGGAAGAATTAACAGCTGTGACTATTTAGGAATTTTGGAGGACCAAGTTGATCCAATGGTTCAAGCACTGTTTCCGAAGGGGAACGGCATCTTTCGAGATAATTGCCCCCGATCCATACCGATAGAAATGTTGAAAAATGATAAGAGAAACATTCTAATGAAGTTGAGCATCTTATTTGGCCACCACTATCACCAGACCTGAATGTTATCGTACATTTATGGTCGATTTTAGAGATGCAAGTCAGAATTGATTCCCACCGCCATCGTATTTAGAAGAGCTGGAGGGAGTTTAAAGAGAATAATGTGCTAAAATTCCTTTGTAAGCAATTCACAATTTGTATGAATCAATACCTCGGAGATTTGAAGCTGTAATTGCCGCACTGGGTGGGCCTACACCATGCATACTAAAATATTTCTGTGTATTTCTCAGGTGTTTCCCTTATTTTGTCTAACACTAGTAGCTTCGTTATCTTTCTGAAGGTAATATTTTGTGAGTTTAAAAAGCGATTATGCATGCATAACGGCGCGCTATTATTGAAGTACCGGCAGAATTGAGGCGAAGCGTTTGGTACGTGGATGCCGTGCGTGCCTCCACGTTAATCAGGTGGATGCCGTGCGTGCATCCACGTTAATCAGGTGGATGCCGTGCGTGCATCCACGTTAAGCAGGTGGATGCCGTGCGTGCATCCACGTTAAGCAGGTGGATGCCGTGCGTGCATCCACGTTAAGCAGGTGGATGTTGTGCGTGCATCCACGTTAAGCAGGTGGATGCCGTGCGTGCATCCACGTATAGCAGGTGGATGCCGTACGTGCATCCACGTTAGGCAGGTGGATACCGTGCGTGCATCCACGTATAGCAGGTGGATACCGTGCGTGCATCCACGTTAGGCAGGTGGATACCGTGCGTACATCCACGTATAGCAGGTGGATGCCGCACGTGCGAGTGCGTGGCATTGATCACACGTTGTTCTTTGCAGGACTCTGAGTTGACTTATGAGCCTCGTGTGTTCGTCGGTACGTTATTACTCTTCTTGACTTTGTTGTTAATGTTGTTGCTGATGCTTTTTACTTATCTAAAACTTAACTGTCATACACTACTTCTATCGTTCTGTGTGAACCTTGTAGTCGCTACCCTGTTGTTTTAATCTAACCATCACACGGTGTTCGCCCCCTGATGATGGCTGTACACGAGTTAATTTTTGAGTTTTAGCATGGAGTTATCGCAGCTCATTTTACGAGGTTCTTGTGTTTTTTCTATTATTATTGTACCTATTATTTCTGTTCATGTTTGCATAGTTTTAAACTTAAACTCTTATGAACTTGGCTCGATAGGTTTGGCATTGACCAAGTGAAAATTATGTGGAGTGAGAGTGACAAAATCTTGCAGAAATTTCCGCAAAAAGCATTAAGGAAATACCATCAGTTCAAAATCAAATGATGGCTCATTAACTTGCTGTTTATATAATTGTGTGATCATTGAAAATACGTTATTTGGATATCGGTGCCGTCATGTTAGATGATATCTTATTGCATGCGTTCACATCCTCACTTCTATTGAACTCGTTCGCTTTTATTTTCATTTCACTCGCGTAATATCAACTACTTAATTTTGAAAGTTCTGATGTCTGGCGGAACGAAGCATGCCGTTATTTTCTTTAACTAAAAATTGTAACTACTTATTGCGAGCATCGCTCATATTTTTGTGCCACTTAAAGCATTTATTTTCCCAATTGGAGTATCGATTTTAAAATAACCATAACTTGGCGGATATAGCGAGGCTTTTGGCACGAATGTAAATTATTTTCTGATGTGCGATGAGAATAGTCAAGTTATCGCACGCTAAAGATTAGTTAAATATGACTTTCCTCTTTCCAACTGCATACTAATCATTATTATCACCATTATAATTTGTTTTATTGTTGCATGAATGACGCACGTGTTGTTTATTGAGCACTCACAAATACTTAATATATCTGACAGTGTGGCTTGACCTTTCAGTTTATATTTGATTCTAATGTCTAGTATTGAAATGCGCATGAATGTTTTTTCGATGCGCACTTTTGTTTGTCCTGTACACTGCTTAGTCTCCAGCCTAATGACTATTTTTCGTCATAACCTATACTAGGTTGTGACGAAAATATATTACTTTTATTTCGTCGTTTCATGTTAGACTTTTTTTTTTTTGGTACGAGGTACGTATTATAGACGTATATTACACACCAATTGTACAAACTATTTTATTGTATTGAACACTTTCTGCAGTGAATGATTTAGCAATATTGACACATGACGGTTTTATTAAGCTCCAGCGAGCCGCTTATGTTACTAATTTCTTTGTGAAGAGTTCTGTCAATTTAAGGAGTCGAGTTTCGAATCACTATTGATGAATTATGGATATCATTGATTTATTACAAACTCAGAAATATCGCAACACAGTCAATATTTAGTGAATCTGAAACGTGCGTAGCCCTCTGGTGAGGAGGTCCTACTTGCGTTATAAGGCCATTGCTATTTTGAGATGAATTTTTGATCGGTTACCAAGATTTTTTTACGAATGCCACATCAATTCTCTAGTGTGTTTCTGATGATGAGAATCCGTTTGGATTTTTATTTCCCGTTTTATTCCTTCGTGTGAGTTAATTAAGTTTTTTTTTATCTAATGCAAGGTATTTAAAAATTCCGTGTTTTAAACTGATGCAAGGTCTGTGAAAATTTCGTTATTCTGCACATTTTTCTGTTCCACTTCAGTTTTGAGGGCCTGAAGAATTTACTTTGCTATGTGGCAACTATGCTTATTGGTAACAGACGGAGTTACCTCTGTTGGGCCTTTACCAAAGTGTTACTCTTAGACTTTTAGATATATTTTGTTAATTGAGTTCACTTTTTCTACGGTTTGATTTTAAGGAACGTGGTTAACGTAAATCATCCTTACTTAAATGGTTTGTATTGAATTTTCTCTCATTTTCCGTTTCATTGACGTTAATTTTTTGTGGCATCAAGAAAGTTTTGCTCAGCTTGAATGCATTTATTTGTTGTTATTGTCGGTAATCTTTTATAGACACAAGTTTTGGTTCGTCAAGTTGGGTTCTACAGTTATCATAAGTAGTTATGGTGTCACTCTCTTTCGATTAGTGGAACGTTTTTTATCAATTGTAGATATGTCATGTCTTTCCATTTGTATGTGCTTCAAGATTTTACAGTAAATATTTTGTTAATATTGTGATATTCGTTGGCCAGGTGGAAGAAGCCGAGGTCGAGCAGCGGCTGCAGCTGCTGTGGATGAAGAAGTGAAGGCTGCTGCTTCTGAAGCTGCTTCTGTTGCGGTCACCCCTGCAAAGTCAGGCAGAGGTATTCGTAAAACTACCACCAACACCACCACCACTACTACTGCTGCTGCTGCTGACGCTGACGACGAAATTGAAACTAAGCCCGCGAACGCCAAGGAGAAGAAAAAACCAGCAGCCGCCAAACTCAAAGAGCAAGAACCAAAAAACGAAGAACCCGAGGAAGAAACCAAGACGATTAAAGGCAAAAAACCTCCAGTAGCTGCCAAAGCCAAGGAGTCTAATAAAACTGATGAGCCTGAGGAAAATAACAAGGCTGCAAAAGGCAAAAAAAATCCGCCTGCTGCAAAAACCAAGGAGCGGCCAGATGAAGCAAAACAAGAAGGAGAAACTAAGGCCACTAAGACCAAACAACCAGCGGCTGCTAAAGGAGGCGCTAAAGGAGCCGCTGCTAAGAATACTCCTGCCACGGAGCGTGCCAGTCGCCGTGGTAAGAAGTAATGGCAAGACTATGTATATTTTATACGAAGCATTACCAGTTTGACTTGATTAGTTGTCCTTAGATGTAATCTGTTGCGCATACTACCGCGTTTCTTTACATACGTGATTTGCTGCATAATTGAATTTTTAGTTGTCTTACTTACTCAATGGTAATTTCAGGCTTCGTGACTTTCATGTGCACCTTTGTTACTTTATTGTTTCTCCAACGAAACGTTTGCCTTGAAATGTTGGCTGATTGCTAATGAACTCTCAGTTTTAGCTAGCAATCGTAAAGATATACCGTATGCCGTGTTCCTCCTATGTTCTTCCCACTGTATATTTTTACCATTGATATTGATTGTTCATTGCTCGTCGTTTGGTATTGCACGAAACTTGGGTATATTTTTAGTCAACTCAAACCCTATTATGTTATTGTACATTTACATAAAAGGACTGGGAGTTTAGCGTGAAAATGCTGAGCTTAACGCTTTAGAATCATTGAGTAACCAGCGTCCTACTCTTCAAAGCGCTAAAGCTGATGTTCTTAGATGCCAATCACTCATTTATTATTTCCTTCAAGTTTAACTGCTTTATAGACTTGGTGAGAGGCGTTACTACTTGCATTTTCTCGATCAGATGACTACAAGAGGTGGCATTAGGATGAAACTTGTGGTTCTTCACAAAAATTTTGGCTTTAACTACTTTCTCGTTATTGCCGTCTCATCGATATCATTGCAGTTTAAATCGCGCTAGTTTGCTTATTATTTGTAACAAATTTCTACTTTCACAATAAACCCTCACTCTTTTCGGATAAACACCGGAGGCCTTTCTCCGAGTATACATTTTACACGTTTTCGAGTCCGCTGTTTTAACAATGGTGATTTTTTTTGTTGATGTGAAATATTCACTGCTTTGGTTTCCTTTTTTATCATGCAAGATAAGATAAATTAATTTTCAATATTCGCTGCAGCAGTAAAGGAGCAGAAGTAACAGCAGTAGCATCAGCAGCTGTAGCTTTTTCGAATAAATAACTGGAGTCGTGTGTACTACTTCTTAACAGAGTACTTGTATAAGGCTACTATTGTCTACTGTAAAATAATGATGTACTATTGCTTAGTAGTGTGGATGTGTGAGCGTTTGATGGTGAAAGATGTGTGCGTGGAAGTGTTTTCAAGTGCGTGTTTCTAATATAAGTACACTTTAAGAGCACTTACGCGAGTGAGGGCATTAACTTTGTTCCAAGTTTTACGGTGATAAGGAGTTGTTTTAGTTGTGAGTGTGCTCGCTTTAGACTTCGACTTACGTTGCAATAATTCTTATGTATTTATCCATTGCCCACCCAGCTTTGTTAAAGTAATAGCGAGCTTATCTTTTTGAGAGCATAAAAAGTAGTCATAACCTCCCCTTTATTATGGTAATAATGGTAACTCTTCAGCTTGGCTCGTGCTCCCTGAAAATCTGCACCGCAAGTACATCCTTTTGGGTATATTATGTTATTATTTGGATCAAAGGCATGACTTTGTTAGCGTTTCATTAGTTCAACTTTACAATGTTCCTCGCAGCAGCTCAATAGAGCGTTGCGAGAAGCCTCCTTGTTATTTTGTTAAGAGGTACTCTGAGCTGAACGACGGGGGCTTACTTAATTTACTGAATTTGTAGAGTTGCCTCGTGGATGTGTCGTTGTAGTTATTCAATGTATCGACCACACCTGCACTGACACTTAGATCGCTATTGACCGGCCATTGAATTAGAAAGTAGATTTTAAAATCCCGTCTCGTGTCAATAATCCCTCCTCTGCAGTTTGTAAATTCCCTCATGTCAATAATCCCGCCTCAGTAGGCAGTACATTAGCAACAGTTTCTAGCGTTGGTAAACTTTACCACGTAGTCGTATAGGTAGACTTTTGCCTGCCCAGATTTTGGTATTGACACGAAATGTGAACTCTATTATATCATTACCCTTTTGTATTGTTAATTCAGTTCATTTTTGTACTATGTAGTGACTCACGATTTGTTCAAGCTGTCTATTTGCCACCGTATTTGAAATTAATTCATATCCTGCCTGGTCTTTTCGAGATGTTTCAACTGAAATCTAATCCTGTTCTCTGAAACTGACAAGCTTTTTCGGACTAGCTTTGCCTGGCAAAGAAATGTTTTCATAGTCGATTCAGTTGCAAAGATTTCTCATTCTAACTTGGCACGCGTTTTCAGCCCATGGAAGTAAGTTGCCATATATATTAGGAATTGAAGTTTGAATTTACACTACGTCTTCTGTTAACTGAATTTCTACTGTGCCAGTAAATTTTGGTTTCATGGTTGCTATCTGCAAGATTAGTAGCGATCCTTATTCTGGTTAGAGACCGACTAGGATGTCTCTACCATTGAGTGATCGCATGCATTGTGTGTAAAACACGTTTTAAGCTTGGTGATAGTTTGGTTTCAGTGATAGTTTTATAGGTAAGTGCTACATCCGCTCCACCAGAACGACTATGAACTCTTGTACTTCTCCACCTGCAGCCTGCCGAGCGTCAGGTCGTGCTTTGTAATTAAAGGATGTCATTAAACTGTATGTTCACTTGTACACTTCATTCTCCCTAAAATTTTCGTTGTGAGAAACAAAATAACCGTTTTAAAACGTGTTACCAGAGTGATCAACACATTCAGTTGAGTAAAGCTGGGAAAGTTTGCTGAGTATTTGTAGCTTTGGCAGTCAGGGAGGAATTTTGACGCGTTACTGTGCTCGTCAGAATACATATATGATTTGGCGTTCATAGGAGCATTGTTCCTCAGCGACCCAACTCAGAGGGGAGCGCAGCCGTAGGTAACAAAATTGACTCTTAAACAGGCCCTGGGCCTAACGCCAACCATCAGCATGCAATATCTACACATAGCCTCAGACCAATGAGCTGTGGGTAACTCCGGCTAACAGTAAATCCGCTTTGCACAACACAGCCACTGCTTCACAGCGCCGGAACGCAACAGGCGGCGCAGGTTAGGTTAGGTTACGTTAGGAGTAGCTGTTGCGGTAGGCGGGTAGGGCCTGCTGCGCTCCGGCCTGTGACTGAACTGCGCTGTTGTGGTGGGCGCTTGTGTCAAAAGCCGTAAAGATGCCCGGCTGCGTTACGCTCGGGAAGGTATATAAATCGCACTGTGGACTTAGGCTATGCTGACCTCTAGCTATCCACCCACTCAGAGCTCGTGGTGTCTGACGGCTGGTCTCAGTTATGGGTGAGGCATTAGTAGGGTTATGTCGTTATCTAGGCAAGGCAGTTGTGGGATTAAGCTATATCTTGTATGCAGGATTCCTTGCAATTATCTTCTCTGACTCTCGTTTGGCAGACCGACGTCTCGTATCAGCGTACTCTTGTTCGAGTGACTTTAATTCTGATGCTGTTCACTTCTCCCTTCTTCAGTTCTTGTCACTTCGTCTCTCCCTGAAATGCAAACGTTGCTTCTCTCGAGCCAGCTTCAGCAGGCTGGACAATTGTGACATAGCCCCCATTTTGGTGAACATCAATTTGGGAAATTTTCAGTAATTGAGACCTACTGCCTTGCTGGCGATGTTAATTTTTGACCTCCGGCGTGAAATAGCTTGATAGCTGAAGCTCTGCCTCTAGCAAATCATCCTACTTATACTCTTCGCCTGGAATTTTTTAGGAAAAGAGCACCAAAGTTTCAACGATTGGGCTTAACTCGTGCATGAAAACAGTAATTTTTCACGAGCTAAGCAGTACTTTGTGTGCATGTTACATTGTTTTGTCATGTGGGGTAGACAAAGAATTTCTCTCCTTGACATCGTATGTTTCCAATAACAATTTTCTACTGCACGATGATGCACGATGCAGGATTACAGTTAATATTTACGCGCCAATGGCATTATTTGCACATAGTTTTGTGCGTTTGATAATAATCCTGATCCGCTTCTGTTAAAAACATTACAATCTTTCCGTCCAAAGAAAGATTGTATTTAGCGCGTATTTTACGTTTTTCAAGTTAGTGCAGACTCTGTGCAAGTTTCAATTAAACGTTTGCCTGCCTTATATTTTCATAAAATCTGGTTAAAAATAGATTGCGCAAGTTCAAGGGAAAATCTCTGAATTTCATATGTTTACAGTCACGGGATTTAAAATATGTGAATATTTTAGAACCATTGCCCATATTCACTGTCGACGGAAGATCTCGTGTAGTTTCTACTACGCCCATTACACAACATTCTTTCAAAGCTATGACAAATTTCAACCAATAACAGCGCATATTACAGAGTATAGAGAGGCAAAACAGCGAATCAGGAAGAAGCTTCTATACATGTTGGGCGTTAGATATGGCAAATTGGCCCCACATTTGAACTGGCGACCAATAACAGCCATCCGAGGTAGCGCGCCAAAGCGTCCGTTAGTAGAGCTGTGGAAGTGTGGCCAACCATTCGGTTAGTGATTCTTTGTAAAAGTTGCTTGATTATTGTGAGTTGTTTAATTATGCGTAAGAAATTTTCTACAAATTCAGTGCAAATAAATGTCTTTCATGTTTTGGATCATAATTTTCATCTAATAGTTAGTATCGTTTAGAAATAATTGATTCTTAATATTCTAAACACCGGGCGGCGCTTTCAAAACCATGTTTGCCTGTTGCCGATCGAAGAAGCTAGTATTGTAGAATTTTCATTATTTGCTTGATATGTGTTATTTTTCGATAGCATTCGCTTACTTTGCCAGTGTTTTGTTGTTATCCTGCTAAGTACTGAGCTTTAAGCTTTTGAATTGTATCGAATGTTAATTGTAGTTGACATAGGTCGCCATGTTGCTCAATGCTACTGACGCTGTGACGCTGCTGCCTCTCGTAAACACAAGCTGCGTTCACGTATCGAGAATTACATTAGGTTACGGGTTACCTTGTGCTTATAGTCACATTAATTATTTAATATGATAGGCTAACTCTGATTTGCTTGTATTGAAATGAATATGTTGGCTTTCTTTTACGTAGGAGATTGAATTGTCTAAAATTTATTTTAAAATTGATGTAAATAAGACATGAGAATGAAGACTTGCGTTTTACTAAATTACATTTATCAATAGAGTGAATAGACCACAAGCTTTAAACGAAAAATAGTACCAACAAGTTTTCATTTATAAAGTCTCTGAATTAGTTTTTTACATTTTGCTCACCGTTTTCAATTTTGTAATGGTAAATGCCTCTCAATTATACCAACGTTTCTTCTCGCCGTGTGTCTGGAACAATAAGATTTCCAACATTCGATTGACCGTACTGAAGTCTGAAGTCACGTGGTTTACGTAAATATCTGAACTACTGCGCTTGTGTAGAATATCTTTTTAAAAAGTTTATTAAAGTTCTTTGATATTTATGTTGGCTTCGAAAATCGGTTAATTTAACGAGCGAGTTCCGTGAATTTGCATTTCCATGGTGACCACTGACCGATGACTTCCATCCCTCAACTGTGGTATTTTGTCGCTAGTGTTTTGCTAGCTACTGCACTTGAATCATGTTTTAGTAAAAAATACCGGTATATAATATATCAATAGTATTTTTGTTGCACCTACGCAATAAAAAAACAGTCAAGGTAGACAAATTTCCTATTAAAAGTTCTTTCTTTGATCAATTCTATTGTTTATGTTTGCATTTTTATATATTAGGGTGGCGACTTGAATTAGACTAGGTATTCTGGCAACTCAGGTGTCACTGATGGTTACTCAGTCTCAGGTGGTTCAGTGACTCAGTCTCAACTCTCAGGTGATGGTTTCTCAGTCTCACTTTTTGTGCTAATAATAATAATATCTTCTTATGTCAAGTTAGCTATGTTTAACGATGACCTGAAGGAATACTAAAATTTACTAGGAATTTACTTACAGCTTAATTGTTCTGTGAGTAAACTTTGAGTAATATTGTTTACATTCAAATTAGATTAATATTATTTCATAATAATAATATTTTTAATTGTCTCAGTATTTGAAATAATCATTATTTAAGTTCTTTTTATGTTCTCTAAAAGGCTAAATTGTGGAGCAACTACATGTATTGAAGGCATTGTTAAATCTTTACTTCTATTAAGTAAATCTGGCCCATGCTACAAAAGGAGTCAGTTGGTTCAGTTAAAGGAAGACTACTTGTTCAGTAAAAAATATTCTAATATATTGACCAATGTTAAAAATAAAGATTTCTATTAAGATTTTCAAAGACCTATTTTTTTAACAAAATACTGATCTTGATGCAACTTCTCAATTTAGCTAGCTTGATTTACATGTGCATGCTCTAAAACAAGTGTAATAATAATTACTGTTGCCAATATGTCTTGAAATTTACTATAATTCCATATATGCATTTATACTTATCTATTGTTCCATTTGTTGGTGATACATTTTCTAGCAATCTAACCATATAAAGAATAAATCAATCTTGTCCTTTATTTTGCATGCTAAATCTATGAAATGGATTTGTGATTAAGTGCTAGTTAAGCACCAGTATTAGTCCTAATCAGAAAAAGCAAGTCCTTGGTATTCTGAAGAAGGTGGAATTCAAAAGAGATAATATATGAACAAGTGCACATACCATGTTGGATCTACAAATCTGAAGCTATATTTTCTTTTATATTTCTCTGATATTTTGCAACTGATTTAGTTGCCTGACTGGATTGCTTTTTAGTTTATATTTGAACCATTGTGTATGGAATTTCAAAAAACATTCATCTAAGCCTCTCAAATGTTTTTGGGATGTGAATTATGTCTGATAATTACACAATAGATTCTCTATAAACAGTCATAAGTATTAATTTTTTATAAGAAAGGGAAATAACATCGTATCATGAGTAAGAACCAGCACTGATTTCAAGCCTAAATGATATGACAGTACCACATTTATTAATGTTTTCCCTTCCACTGCAATCAGTTGTGTATTCAATGTTAGCATGTTGTATTAAGTGCCTACAAGATTGATAATAACTTATTGCCTTAAATGATAAGCTTTACATGCACTCAGGCTATTTGATTGTCATCTCTATGTTTGTTGATATTTAATGATAACCACGCACACTCTTACGTTATATCTATACATAGTTAGCGAGATTTTTGTAGTGACGTTCAAATCAACTCTTATGTTGTGTAAATACATAGTTACGCAGCGAGATGTTTGTAGCGACGTTCACGCAAACTCTTATGTTGTATCTATACACAGTTATGCCGTGAGATGTTTGTAGCAACGTTCACGCAAACTCTTATGTTGTATCTATACACAGTTATGCAGCGAGATGTTTGTAGCGACGTTCTCGTAAACTCTTATGTTGTATCTATACACAGTTATGCAGCGAGATGTTTGTAGCGACGTTCATGTAAACTCTTATGTTGTGTAAAAAACCTAGTTACGCGGCGAGATGTTTGTAGCGACGTTCATGTAAACTCTTATGTTGTATCTATACGACGCCTGTGTCTATGTTATGTGTATACATAGCTACGCATTTGATAGTCCCTGTCTATGTTATGTGTATACATAGCTACGCATTTGATAGTCCCGTGGTCGGACTCGCCTTCAGGCCTGCTTGTGTCAAGTCTGTTGCGTCGCCTGAGGGCCACTACTGCCTCGAGTTCTAAATGAAAGCTCTTTTGTCTTGTGCTGCCTCCGCGTTACTGGCTGCTGTATTTATTTTTACTCTTATGCTCGCAAGCCGGCAAATACGTTCAGAGAAACTTGCCTTTGGTGAATGGAGCATCGTGATGGCATTATACTTGTAATACATAATATCTGCACCAATCAAGTCTAGTCAGTGTGGTGTATGTATCTGAGCAATAATGTAATTGATAGACCATATAATTGTTCACATAGATGACGTTCTTTCGAAGAGGACTTTCGAAAAAGTCTGTGGGACTATTTATATGACTAATTTAATGTGGTAAATTTCCTGTCTGAACGATACATCTAATTTTATTAACAAAGTTTGGCTTGTAATATTGATGCGAATAAGCTATTTTGTATATATTGTGTTAAATGTCGAATCCGAGCGTCTGTTTTAATTTAATTCTGGATTGAGTCATCGGCTGGTCTGAGGCTTTCATACAACCCACTCATGTCAGATTTCTTACAGTGGTATTTTCGAGTCAAACTGAAATGGGTACAAAATGGGCAAATGTTTTTAGAAATTCTAACAAAAAAAACTCGTAATTAATCTTAAACTTGGTTAGCTTGTATGTAGTCAGAAAAGTGGTGCTGTGGTTTTGTGCATCATCGTATCCTACTTTACGTGATAGCTAAGGATTAGTGCGGACTATTCCTGAATTAAACAAATCTTGACCTCGCTGCCGTTCAATGGCAATGACTTCGCAGTTGCAATCGTCGGTTCTATTATTTATTTCACGCCATGAATTCCTAGTAAGACTCGTGAATTCCTTATATACGTGTAAACATGTTTTTATTTGAGTTAAATGAAGCTATCATGGCAATTTTTCTAAGGTTTTATTAACTTGGCTGTTACGTGCAATTATAACAATTATATTTTCTTAGACTTCTTAGTCAGGAGGCCAAGCCCTGAGCCCACGTGGACCAACAGAGAATTAGTCGAAATATAAAATAACTTTCGACTAAGAGAAACTATTCATTCGTCGAGCCCAACAAAAACTTTTACCGCAACTCCTATGCTAGTGTAGAATATTTATCTGCTGGAATTACCTACGGTAGACATTAGCGGTCTAGCTAACGTGTGAACATAAGATATGTTCCAATGCAACGCAAGTCAGTCAACGCATGCTGCCGTTCCGATACTGTGATTCTAAAAAAAAAGTCTTATTACAATGCTTTACTACGCCGTTACGATTCAGCGACTTGAATTTCCTCGCAGCACAGAATGAAACGTGGGCCGTTTCCATTTATTATTTCATCACAGTCAGTTTCATATTAATAGAGGCTTCATCAAAACTATTGTTGAGTTCTCTGTAGTACCAACTCTTGGCAAGAAGTCGGGTCATACGTTGTGGGGCGCAATTACATACATATTTGTAGTATTTTTTACGCTATCTACAGCAAGACTTTTTACTGTTTATGGGATAGAGATCGACATAAAATACGGTGTACAACATTTTGAACTCTACATATATGGAAGGAGGTTGTCGAACTCGAATGATTTCCTAAGTAAAGCTGAAGCAAAATGGATGAATAATAATTAACGTAATTGGAAAATTTAATATAATCCTCTTGATGAATTACGTGAAGTTATTATGACTGGGCGTCGGCGGTGTTTTACCACGCGCTATGTCCGTTCCTGAAAAACGTACCCTTTGGGGCATGACGTACCGAAAACTTAGACCTTTGAAGTGTTATTATCCTTGCCCCGGCCTATTCGCGTTGTGAATATTTTGGTCAGGTATTGGGTTTGCCAATTTCTCCCACGCGATACTACGAAACTGAATTGTTATGCAAGACTTTCTATCCGAAAATGAATGAAACTTCATTTTCATTCATATACATAGTTAACAACCTTCATGCTACAATTTCCTGTTTTTTCTTATTTATACATTTTTTCCCATTAAGGGTTTTATCAGATATTTTTTAGAGAAGATTTTTCTTCATCAGATTTTTCAGAAGGTTGTTTATCAGATTTTTTTTACATTTATTGAATGAAAATTATTAGATATTCTTGAATTTACATTGTAAACTCTTTTCAAGTTTTTTTTTTTTTGTTCAGGTGAAGGAGGTACGAGGAAACTTGAGTAGCTATGACGGAGCGAAAGTTCAATATTGGTGAGCGAGTGAGGGCGAAATGGCCGGGCAGTGGCTTGTATTTCGAGGGAGAGATCGAAGACTTCAACGACATCGAGTACCTCGTCAAGTTCGATGACGAAGATGAAAGCAAGTTGGCCGTCAAATACAGAGATGTTGCTGTGAGTTTCTTGCTTTTAGTTGTCAATGCTGGCGAAAAATTTAAGTTTCTCTTGTGTGTGTGACGGAGAATGATAATTTTTTTCTAGTAATTAATGAAATTGCTCAATTAATTAAAAAGTTACTGATCGAATCGTATCCAGTTCATTCTTTCTTGAGGTGCGTTCTCTTCGTGTGCTTAATTTTAGTGCTTCACTGTGCCTTTGGAATTGGTTATAGTGAAGCTCTTGAATCCTGTTCAGTCATGCATGCCATTTCATCGCTACTCAAAATTGAAAAAAATTGATCGAAGCAAAAGTGTTTTGTTCCGAAGGTATACTAACTTTGATGTTTATTCTATCGTTATTGATTAACTAAAGATGTTATATAAAATTAATAAAGTTTTCAATTGAGACCATTTGACAAGGAAAATTTGTTACCATTTCCTTATTATTTATAATTTCCTCCATTTAAAGAAAAAATGAATTTCTTAAATTCATTTCATGCAGGCCCTGACTTCGTTCAAGCGCTCTCGCTCCCGGTCTCGTGGTCGTAGTCCCACGCGTGTCCCGAAGAGTCCCAACAAGAAGACGAGCAAGAGTCCCGGCAGAGTACAAGCTGCCAAAAGGAGCCCTGGTCGACCAAGAGCTTCTAGTAAAAGTCCTGCCAGGATATCGAAAACTGAGATAACCATGTTAAACTCCACGGCGAATTCCAGTGAAAGTTAGTTACTAATATCCACTACGAGTACTAGTGTAATGTGTAATGCTTCATTTTCTCGGAACTCCAGCATTGAGTTCCTAACTTCCTACCTTTCAAAAGTATTGGAACTATCTTGTTTCATATATTTTCTCACATTTAGTGTTTATCCTGAAATCTTTGTTCATATGCCTGGGTCCGATGGAAGAAAATTTGAAGCGACTTTGAGAAAATAATGCAATTTCAACCCTTCTGTTCTAATTTACCAATTTTACTTGAACGAAAAATCGATTGCCCCATTATACCGGGAGATGATTTGCAGTGATATGCTGGAATAGTTGGTGCATCCTATTCTTTTCATGATTAACTTCATCAATACTAGTTGATAAAAGCACCTATTATTTAATTAATGTAATTTTTAATTATGAATTGTCATTGTATGCAAACTTGAAAGTTTGTCACATGTGCCTAATTACACCTTTTAGAAGAAAATTAATCTCTTGCTTCTCTGTTGCAGGCAACAAAAGTCCATCTCGAGCAAGCAGCAGACGTATTGTAAACAGCAGCGCGAGCAGTTCCTTCTCGCAGAACTCACGCTCCTCAAACGAAGAGAAAACTCGAGTAACATCACTTAGACAGAGCCCCAGACTGTCTTCCGACGAAAAGGTAAGGAGATGCTCTGTTATTGAAAAAAAATTTGTTAATTTTTTGCGGGGTTGTACACTTGTACTTATGATCATATATTGAAAATAAATGGACTGCGTTGCTTTCGAGCCTCATTGAAGTAATCCTAGAGTTAACATTATTTGGGTTGTGAAGTTTACATGGGTAGAGTATAAAATTTTATGATACACTACCGTCAGGTGCTAAAAGTATAGAAAAAGAAGATACGTACTAAATACCTAATAAGTCATGCCGTTGTACAATGAATAAGGCTTTACTTTATTCGTTATGCAAAGAAAGGAAAATCTTTTCTGACTTCTTTCCAATGACGTATAAAATCTTTTTAGAGGAAAGACCATACAAACTTTCTTTGATTTATACTCTTTTTTCAGTTCCGTGTTTAAAATTATTGTATTTTATTTCAGTCCAATGATGTAAAGAACTTATCGGCGAAACCAAGCAGCAGCAGCGGGAGTAAGACAAGACGATGGGCAAGCATCAAGAGAGCCCTGGCTACAGTTTGGGACGTGCTACTGCCAGCTCTTACTTCCCTTCCACTCATCATCTTCATCGCTCTGGCCCCTCTTACGATGTCTTATGCTTGCACCAAAGTTAGTTTGAGCCGCAAATGGAATTAATATTCATTCAACAATGTGATCAAATTGTGTCAATTTCCCCATGAAATGAGTGTTTTTTTTTTTTTGGAAGTCCAATAATTTTTATTAGTCATCGTCACGACCTATGGATTGGATGCGTGATAATTCATATGAATTTTGTGAGTCTCGTTATCGCAAATATCTAAGAAATTATCAATTTTTTCTGCAATCACGCCTACGTAACCTTTGCTGTGAACATCTAGTATTTTATGTGTAAAGTAAATTTCAAAATTTTCCTATGCCGTTTCTGGCTGGAACGCCCTTTGAATTTTATAAATATCTTGGATTCCTGGTGATTTCATTTGACTAAGCTGGTTTTTAATGTGATTATTACAGAAGAACTGCACCGTTTTGGAAGTGCCCACCTTCTCTAGCCAGGTGAAACAATACTATGACATCCGTGCCGTGGCCATAACTCTGGGTCTTCTGGTGCTACACTTGGTGCTCTCTTATATACCAGTTCGCTCCAGAGTGTTGCCTAACGGTGCAAAGGCCAGGACCAACGGTAAATCCATCAACTTTCCATTCATGAAAATTATTTGTTAACGAATCTATAGTTATATTATACTGTGAATTTCTTATTTTAAATTTAAACTTTTAATTATTTGTTGTAATTTAGGTTAATACTTTTGGTGATTCGTTTAATTAGATTTATTATTCTCTTTTTTTTAATGAATCATTTCCGTTGTTCAGGTTTGGTGCTGTTGCTCGTATCCTGTCTACTGTTTCCTCTGGCCCACTACTTCAAACTGAATGTCTCTGAAGTGTACACGCTTCTGCGTCCCCTCATTGTCTCACACGCCGCACTGGGTCTTGTCTTCGGCCTCGCCCTCTACATCAAAAGCTTCTACGCCCCCCGGAGCAACCGCAACCCAAGAATTGTGGGACATTTCCTGCCTGACTTCATCGAAGGTCGTGAAGTGAACCCGCGCATCGGCAGCATTGATATCAAGAGCTTCTTCATAAAACATTCTATCATCGTTTCTGTAAGCAACATTTTTGATTCGATTTTTTAATTTAATTTTTCTGTTTCTTGACTAAAATTAAATGTAGCAAATCAAAACAAAAAATGGAAATTTATATTTCCCTACTAATTAATGTTCCAAATGTTTGCAAAAATTAAAATGATAAAAAACAGGAAATCTAGTTTGCTTGTATGATAGATATATCATGCTTATTGCGATGACCTTCAAGCATTTGTTATTTCTCATTTTTAAACCTAACCATATTTTGCAGTCGCTGCTTCTGCTTGTACTTGTCATCCGCGAATTTCAACTTACAACAAAGGCAAACTACAATAACGAGTTCTTCGTACTTGCGGCGTTACAGGTATGTCATATTGAGATTATTTCTCCTGGATTCAGATTCAATTCCGCATTCTTTCTTCCAGGATGTTTGCGAACAATTTAATGTTGTTGTTTAAGGATTTGCACAGTTTAATTCTTTAAAATACTTGTATAGTTTCTGCAATAAAATATTTATCTTTCCACGAAGTATCGAAACCTATAAATCCCATTTATCAGAAGTATAATAGATTTATGTGATCATCTCTTATTATATGGGCCTTGGGCCTAAAGATTAAAATAACACTTTCGGGCCTTCGAACGTCAAATGCTAGTAATTTCAAATTGCATGTATATTTTGTCAACTAATGTCGTCTTTTTTTACAGTTATTCTATTGCTTGGATTTCCTGTTGTTTGAAGAGAACTTTTACTCCACCTGGGAGTATACTCGACAAGGATCAGGATATTTCCTAACTGGCTTCTACCTGACCATGCCATACTACTTCATCGTCAACACCCGCGTCCTCATGATGTTCAGGTAAAGCATTTTGTATTTTTCCTTCCCTCGTTTCATTACGAGTGACAAAACATCGTTTTTTTTATTGTCGAGTCTGATAAAACTATCGTAACCTATTAATTCTGGGAATTTTAGATTCACTCGTATTGGGTCACATTATTGACATTGTTAATTATTGAACCACATAGCACATGAGAAATGTGTAATAATATCACTTGGTTTAGCTGTGATCTCATTATTCACGTTGCACGATTTTACACATTATTCAGATCACCCTTGCCGTGGTACTGCATTGCCGGGATCGTGGTCATTTACCTGGCTGGTTACATCCTGGTTCGTGGCGCCAACAACCAGAAGCACGCCTTCCGAACCAATCCTTCGGACCCGAACCTTGCTCGTGAGTCCCTCGTCGTACAACTATACATTTTTTGCTACTTAATTAATCTTAATTTTTTTGGGTCTTTTTACCGTCGTATCTCGTGCAATAAATACACTTTATTAGATTCTCTCCTCTTAACGTAAACCTTTTTACCTCTAATCGTATTTCACTATTTTGATGTTGGCTGTAATGTTGGAAGCAATTTCAGTCAACGAGCTCTACAAAACCGTAATGTTCCGCCTGTATTTTCTCCTATCACAGCTTCAATATAACTTTTTTTAGTTACACGCTTCGTGAACAAAATTAGTATTGCATGGCAGAAAATGTCCTTATTTACACGGATTTTTTAAATCATAACTCCTGATATCCTTCAGACCTAGAAAGCCTGCCGACTTCTGCTGGCACGCGTCTGTTGGTCTCAGGCTGGTGGGGGGTTGTGAGGCATCCCAACTACCTGGGAGATCTGCTCGTCCAGCTCTCGCTGTGCCTTCTTTGTGGTGAGTTTTGAATTACCCCAAACCACTGCAAAATTATTTCTCATTGCGTGATGATAGATAATGTCTTAAGATTTTTGATGTGTTGTATTGAAAGTGTTCTACAATGTTCAGACGCTGGTGTAGAAATATAAATAAGGAATATCTTCTCGGTGCAATAATGTATCCAATCCTGTATTTTCTTATGCTTGGTTCATATTTTCAATAAATTCCTTGCTTAATTTACTAGATGATTCTTTCACTTCTTTAGTTTTCGTAACGCCGTATTTTATTGACAGGTTTCAAGCACGGTCTACCATGGCTAAATTTGTTCCTGAGCTTCGCTTCGTTGCTTCACCGCATCTACGAGACTGAACGAACTTGTTCACTTAAATATGGACTATCATGGAGCACCTACACTGGCCGGGTCAAATACAAACTTCTGCCTAAAGTGTTCTAGAAATAGAAATTTAAAGCTCCCTTGGATCTACAGGCGCAATGACCCCCAGCACATTTTACACGAATTTTTCTTATTCGACTAATATCATTATTTATTTAAAATGGCCATTTAATTTGAAACATTGGTACAAAGTCACAAATCATTGGCTTAAAGGAAAATTTTTTATCGTTTTGACGCTTTAGATCTCATGTCCTGATTTCATTGACAACTTGCCTAGGATTAGCGATCGTAAAGTTGGCCTGAGGCTATTTATCACTGGTGTGCATGGAATGAAACTTATTCATTCCTCCGGTTGAATATAGAGTTCAGCCGAAGAATCTCCAGTGCACCTCTTGCGAGGGACATTTCATCACATAATACATTTAGTGTTCATATCTCAGTTTTGACTCGCTATTTTTCAGTAAAGCTGACATTTTTATGTTATTTGACAAGTTTTATGCTCTTTGGATAACGTGTCGTAAAAAGATCTCCAAACATTGCCTTCACTTGCCATTGTCATGCCAGCTCAGTACAGCTTTTTTTTCAAACATATAATCGATCTCTAGAAAAAATAGAAAATGTTTTGACCCCTAATACATTGAAGTGATTTCTTTCAATTAGTGAAACTCGGGAAAGTAATGCCCATTTAGCTTTGCACGTTCGACAGTCTTGCCGGTTATCGAATTTTAAAGGATTCCCGTCTTTTTCGCACCCGTTTTTTCATATTAGCAAGAAGCTGTTTTTTAACTCTGGATTCTATTGTACCCGATATTTTTTTCTTAAAACGATGCATGTGTTTGCGGGTTTACATTTTTTGAAGGTAGTAGCATTGATGGACCAAGTTATGTATCGTCATTCGCATTGCGTTTAATCTGTTGTCTGGTTATTTTGAATTAATGCATGGTTTTCGAATTTAAATATTATTTTAAAACATTTATAATGCTCGGTACGATGCATTGCTGTACAAAATCACTCATTTAAGCCCACTCGTGTGTCGCTTTTTTTTACTGCTCCCAGACACGGCAAATCATGAACATCTATATGCATTTGTGAAAATATCGTTTACTAACATAAATCCCAGTACGCATTGGACTTATGTTAGTAATTAAGTTCCATTTCTATTTCATTCACTCTGAATCATGCGAATAATTTAGTTGAAGATTCATTATGGCTCTCTAACTTTATGTTGACTTGCCATTTATTTTCACGTTAAGATCAACCAATTCTGCAATTAGATATAATGTGCATCTTAGATGCTTTAATTTAAATATTGTATAACCTGTTCATTAAGGCGGTCTAATGTTAGAAATTGCAATGCTGGAGTGTCATTCGACTAAGGCGTTTTTTGTGTCTGATTGACTTGGTGTACAGTATTTTTAACAAAAAAAAAGCTAAGGTTTTCTCAAAGCTTTGAATAAACAGCGAGATCTTTTTGTGTAGGTATTTCGGGACCAATTAGCTTCCAGATGTAAATTTGATTCATTTCATTGAGCATATCATTGTTAAATTTGTCAATCTTGACGTATGAAACATTTTTTGCAATGAATAAGTACAAGATGATAGTGTGTACATATAGAAAACTGTGTAATTTGTATATTGTGCGACAGATGTTCATTGTGTGCATTCTTGCACCACGATGCACATCGTAACTGCTCGCATTTCCAGATTATGAGTAAACGTTTCATGAATTTGGCTCCTTCATTAGAATAGAATTTGGTAATTAGTTATAGCACTGCATTCAAAATTCGATAAAACTGAGTTTCAAATATTTGATTCAAATAATACTAAGTGCGAGCGCATATGTATGAAATCACTTGACTATTTTTGATATTACATATCCGCTCGTTCGCTTCTCATTTCGTTGGTAAATCTGACCGTACGGTAAATTTGAATACTAGCGATAAAGCACAGAAGGATTGAAATGCATGTAATGAAGTTCGTTCCCCTTTTATTTGCTAACACAGTCCATGACTTAAAGTTCTACAGGCGTCAACACCTAACACCGCTCCCACCGAACATTTATAAGAACTTCCTTCAATGTAGTATGTGCACTAAACCATTTCATTATAATTAGGCATTAATGCCTATTTTTATGTATTGGAGAGAGATAACAGTAATAGAACGTCAATATTAGCTAGTAAGGTAAGAAATTGAAAGAACGAAAAACGTAAATGAAACATTTCGCCTCGTCTTCAACTTGCCAAGAAATCTGCTATAAGCAGTTACTATATAGATCAGCAGAGGTACTACATATAGAAGCAGATAATTATGATGAAATTGTCTCACAACATCAACAACTAAGATGGTAACACTTAAGCGGTATGAACACGAGGTGAGGTAAATCATCATCCCATAAGCTTCACACCGATGCTATGAGGTAACATCTCTAGCCTCAACTAGCACTGTGTGCTGGCGACCGTACGAAGCTGAACAGAAAACGTGTGAACTGGTTATTTATTAAATTATCGATTCCACTCTTATGATCACAAGCATACAAATTAGATTTATCCACAAATCATAATTGAATGGGATATTTATATGAATGATATATAATTCTATTTTTTAACTCTTGAAAAACGGAACTCTCAAGATATTGAAATTATGCCTTAAAAAATCATCTAGAGATGCTGGTGCTAGCAGATCACGTATAGCGAAGGAGAAAGGAAGCCAGGTTGCTTCCTAAACTCAATATTGCGCAGTGCAACCAGAGAAAAAGCAATTAATGCCAACAATTCTAAAAATTATGTAACTCATCTACCCCCATCATCACTGTACCCCCAAAAATGTATTTACGTGGGACATTAATCCTCAGGAACATACATTTGATAGTTTGCTTCACACGCAAACGTACGTACCAATGCGCTAGCATTTTACAAACCAGCAGTGCTAGTTTTTCAACGATACCTAGGTTGCTAAATATTCTCGCTGTCAGCTACTACCTCATAGTAAGATAAGATACTGGATTTTTTAATTAAACTAAGGACGTTTAAAAAAATAAATGCTAGATTTACTACAGAAAATGAAGCATTCGAACAATTTGAAGAAGTATTTCAAGGAGTACATCAGGAAATTAGGACAGGTATACAGTATACCTCGGTAAAAAAGTGACCACGGCGACAACGACAATTCGTACAAGGATTGTTGCAAAGTTTCTTTCTAACCACCAATGTTTGGATCGCATTTAAATTTACGACACCACTCGAAATGCGTCTCAAACTATTAATTCTAACGCCCCATTAAATAATACCCCACTAAAATTTTAAAGATAGTCCGGATATCATTTTATCCCAAACTTTTATTTTTTGTAGGTGAACTCGTCGACGAGGCAGGAAACCAGTTGGCTTGTAAATTTTTATCAAACAAGCTCATTCAGAAACGCTCCATTTAAACTTAAAAAATAGAAACAAGCATTGGAGTTACAGCTCTTGATCAATGAAAAGTTGGTCTATTCCTTCTTTATTAACTATGAAACTATCACCGAGCGAAAATGAGACGTCAGCTGCCTCATGAGCAAGCAGAAAGGGGCACTTGGGATCTACCTAACGTAATTCTATCACAAAATGCTCGTTGACGATCCTGCTCGCTCGATACCTCAGTACAAAATATTCTATTTTCATAACCTACTAAACTTGCCGACCACCAGGCCTTAGCGTGATGTAGGTACCCGTTTCATTTTACTTGAACATCCCATGTTACGACAGATAGCAAGACCTAGGAATATTTCTTGTTCCATAACTCCATCTTACAACGCATTAGCACTGACAACGGAAAGAGGAGTACAACACCGACCAATAAAATGGAAGGCAGCCCAGGTCGGCTAATAGGCAATGAAAATATGATATAACTTACTTTCCCTTCACAGAAATTTTCCATCATAAATAAAAGAAAAATGTATGCTTGAAATTTTAGGAAGGGGAATTTTGGATATAGCAAACTCTTGACTAAAGTAATAAAAGAAAACTTGGCTTTGGGGTTTCGAAATGATGGAACTAGATTGTAAAATCAAAATATTCAACAACTCGACTTGATAATACGATGAAATTATCAACGTCGGCTTCGCTAATCATTATGTTCGTAGTAATTAGATAATTCTTAGGATCTAGCAAGGATTACCGAATCCCATATAGGCATGCACAGGTCACACATTCGTGTCATCTAGAAAGGTCTGCAATTATGAATACTATCGTGGAACAATTAGAGAAGAAATGAAGAGTTTGGCATATTGAAGAGGAAAGAGCCCAGCGTCCTACTCTTCGTGCATGTTTTATGGCTGAGGAACCTTACATCAAGTTGAGCATATATAACAAGCACTACCAACACTCAAACTGATTCTACATTTCCATAGCTCATGAAAATGAGCGTTTTAATTTTTCCGGTATTAAAATATACACACATCTAATTTTTTACGATTTTAAATTTAATTCTTAACTTCAGGTAGTGCAAGCAGCAAGTGGCGAGTGCATGATGAAGTCGATGAGTTGGTAATCGTCAGATGAAATTCGTTGCTCTCGAAACAATTAACATACGACGATAAGGGGGAGCCATGCCTACGTAAATAACAAATCTGTTAGCTGAAGACACCACACGTAACGATAAACATCACGCTTTTAAAAGCAATACAATGAAGCTTCGCAATACAATAGAGCTCATAATTCGTGAGGCAAATATAAAGGTAATGGAGACCTGGGGCCATACTTTCGAAACTAGCTAAGTGAACGTAAGTACTTTCCGCTCTATTTTCTTGTCTATGATTGGTGGATTTTGCTTGAATGGCCGTCAATGATTGGCTGATGAACTTACGATCTCTAAACTTTTTTTGAAAGTATGGCCCCAGGTGCAAGAACGTGCATTTACACCCCACGCAACGCTCCAAGATGATGCAAATATTTTCAATTATCAAGGATCACAAATTCAAAAAAAAAAAAATGAGCCTAGGCTTTTTGTTGAAATGAGCAGACAATTTTGGCATTCATTATATATAAGTAAAATAAAAAAAGTGATTTAATATATCGACCATTATTACAGAAATATTGTATCGTGAATGGAAATGTCGAGTTCAGTTGTATAGCGACTGTGACAAGAATGAAAGAATATCTCGAGTTTGCAATGAAATTCCTATCTTGCCGAAAAAGCTTCAAGAAAAGTTAAAGTTCCGTGTAATTTCAGTGACGTCGCATTTGAAGACACCCGTTACTAATGCACCAATAAGAAACTATCATCAAAAACCTCATCACAAAAAGCTGCAGCTCGTCTTTTTCTGCAAGCAGATATTCTCACCAAGTCTTCATGGGAGAAGTGAATACATATTCTTTGGTTGCATAGCCACTTCGAAAGATGGCACTAGGCTTTCCCTCACACGGCTACCGGTTGTTTCTCGATTGAAGGGCATACGAGATTGTTGAACATTGCACTCTTAAAAACGTCAATATTGAAAGTGATTTTCAATTTCAAATGTACAACGAATCAAAATTCACGAGAACCTCTCTCGTATAAATTCAAATCAATTTAATGTGAAATTAACCTTCAAGATCGAACCCTTATTACCAATGCCGAGATATCTAAATGATTATCTGATAGAATACACAATAACAACACAACAGAAATAAACAAACTCAAATGTAAAAATTCTCGCCTATTTTTAATAGGGAATAGAGCCTAATCAACAAGAAATTAATGATAGTTATTATACAATACTCTTAACAGACAATGTAGAAGCAGTTCCCTAATTAAACAACGAAGAACATCGGTTCCTCAGATTTATTTCTACCGCTCGACACAAACATTACCTCGCGCCTCATGAACTTCACCCAGAAAAATAACACGTTGAGCAATTGGTAGCATAACATCGAGTAACGTAGATAAGCAAGGTCGATGAGTTTCAAAGTAAATGGTCGCGAGGCAGCTCTTTTCAAATGTCAACTTTGATTGAAAGAATCAAAGATGTATCATCAACCAGGTGAATGATATCATTATGATAATTGACTGGGATTTACATGTATTATTACTATGATAGAAAAATAACACAGGTCTATTATTATTCCAAAACCGTATTACGTGATGAACCTGTACACACAAATAAGGAGTGACAACAACAGTAAGAAACTAAAGCAAAATTTAGCAGCCATGCATAAATCGATTCTAAAATTAAACAAATAAAAGTAAGCTTACAAGAGGCGAGAGCCTTGAGGTATCACAATTACTAATTACAGTTCCACTTTACACATAAAAATAAACGTTTACTCCCAAGATATTTCTCAAAACAGAAATATCTAATTCTTAACAGGTACTTTGATAAATTTTACGATGCGCAATTTCTAAATAGTATCGCTGCATGCCAAAATAACGTTTCTGGTCTTTCAACCTTACACTAAATTAGTCTTAAGAAACAACGAAACATCGATTCAGCCCCACTTTACCTGAAAATAATTCTACTAAATAACCTTAATTTAATTACGTTTGACATTCGCTTTCAGTTCGGACGCTACTCCGTGAATAACTACTACCGGATGAACCTTATGATTCATTGTTACAAATTTCACAAAATGTTTAAATTGCCGTACTTTAAAAAAATAACAATTCAAGGTATAAAATTGATTATCCGTTCGTCCTTTCAACCATTCGCTTACAGTGTTTCCTGACCATTGATTTACGAAATTAAAATCATGTATTTTACATTCTTACTGATGAAATTACGAACGCACTTCACTTCCGTTCAGATTCAAGCTCGGCCTGTAGCATTTCCAAAAAAGATTTAGGCAAAATATCTTCACTATTCCATTTTTTACCAGCATTTCGAGGTGTTCCCATGATGGCACTAATACGTTCGAAAAATTTCTGGAGAACGGAAGTTTCGACATCAGAGAGACTGGAGAGGTTAAGAGGCAAATTGTAAAGGCTCTTTTCGAAAAAGTCTGAGGAGTTTTCAGATGAGCTGTTCGATGATGACGACCGCACGGACGACACCGAAGGGCAGGGCGAAGGCGTTGCTGGAGAGCACGGTAAATAGGGTGTTGGACACGGCGCATCAGATGATACATACGATGCGTCAATCCTCGTTTGTTGACTTTTGTTGGGAGAGAAATCAGGTAAACGTTCATGAGGGTCACTGGGGTGTGAAGTAGAGTGGCCCACGTGTATCAAAGACGACCCTGGCTGGACGCCAACGGGGAAACGAGTTACGTAGCCTCGCACATGTGTCATGTGATTAGCAGGGTTTCCTGGTCCGCTGCCATTCTCTGAGGAAGAACTGGGTGAGTTCAGGCTCATACTCATAATTTGTTTCTGCACAGATGAGTAACAATGGCCTTGTTGAGGTAAGTAATCTTTCCCATCTGAGTAAGAAAAGGAATTCGGGGAGTGCGTTTGGGTGGAGCATTGTGAATAACTTTCATCATAATTAGAGAATGAACCGACATTGGACGAAGCAACAGGCAGAGATGCAGAAACGGGTGCGGTCCTTACATCGCAGACCGAGTTTACTGGATGGTGGATATTAACTGGAAATCGTCTTGTGGCATCAGTGGGATGTACTTGGTTATTTGGCGGGTGGCAGTTTGTAAAAGACCCACTGGGAAAATTTGCTGACTTGTCGTTTGTAACTCGCCCCTGGGTGGAGGCGAAATGATTACTGAAAGGTAGCTGAGGACTAGGGCAACCGTCAACGTTTCGACATCGGTTGTCGTCGTCAGATCGAGATGAAGGAACTAGAGCAAGACTAGAATCGTAAACACTAGGGCCTTGAGGAGGACCGTTTACTGTAACATCCGCACTCGTCGTCGCGAGCGGATAATTTAAAGGAGACATGGATCGTCTGGTCCGTGGACAACGGTCAGTACCGAGATCTGAACCGTGCAGGGATGGATTTGCTAACATGGCAGAGAAGCCCTTGTCTGACGTGCGGGATTGTACTTGCAGTTTTTGGTGCTGCTCTTGCGGATGAACCACGGAGCTGTTTCGATTCCTAGAATAAGAGGAATCGTACATACTGTCATGAGAATTCTGAGAGTTCTCGCTCATATTAGAATTTCCTTCGAACGCGATGTGCCGTTGAGAAGTTAAGAAATTACCATCGTTCATATAGTCTATCTCAGGATTAATAACATCCAAACCCTTGGTAAGTAACTTAAGAGCATCGAAGTCTACAGTGTCTTCAGTTTCTAATTCCATTTTCTCTTCTTTGATATATACTTCCGATATTGATTTCTGGTTGAAACTATCGAAACTAGAATTGAAAGGGTTTTCCGTTTTGATTTCAACTTGGGTGTTTGACTTCTTAGAAGAGTTCGAAGTTTTACTGTGCACAAAGGGAAAGCCATTCGAACGATTTTTTCTAAGGAATTCAATGCCACAATTAGTTTTCTTCGCTTCAATGTCAAGATCTTCAGACATATGGTAGATAATCTTCATAATAGCCGGTGGAGGAATGCTCGAGATTAGCTCCTGTATTCTTTGCTGTCGCTGAGCGAGGCGATCTTGGCTGCTGGGAGAACTTCTGTTCTTAACTGTAGTCGGCTGAAGTTCGCTTCCATTATCGCAGTCCATAGGACTGTCACTCAAGACAGAATCGTAAGCAGGTGAAGGAGCCAAGAACAAATTATCATTAAAACTCGAGTATGCAGGCGGATCATTCATAACACTAAGATTGCAACTAGCACCTCGGCCTCCCACACCATCAAACTCTCTGTTGCCCGCTCCTTCCGAGCCACCAGCTCCTCCTGATGGGTGGTTGAAGTCTCCTGTGCTTCCGCTCGCGCCGCTGCCTTCGCCCATCCCTGGTCTCTCAAGGCCTCCACCACCGCTACCTCGACGAGCGCTGCTGTTGCCACCACTGCTCGAGTCCGAGCTCGCTAACTCAATGTGAGCTGTAGTTGAATGTTTTATTTCTAACGCCAGAGACCGTTCTGCCAACTCCCTGACGTCTGCCAGCGATACGAGTGCGTTTGCAAACATCCGACCGGCTTTAGCACCGAATTTGTACTTCAGATAATCGCTCAAAATATTAATATAATGTTCCTGCAGAGTTTGTACTTTTGTTTCGTCCTTCAATCCTGCCATCTCGGGAGAATACAAGGACACAAGCATCAATATTTTAGCCATGGTTTGGTCAGGACAAATAGTCTGAAATTTTTTGAAAAATGTTTTGACACGGTATAAAAGATCGCCAGGCACCAGCTTCTCAATGTTATCGAATGAAACTTTAGGAATTGATGGACCAGCCGCTCCACCTTTTCGTTTCCCAATCCAGGACTCGTAAGTCACTGAGCCCATTATGATGCCCGCTGAGGTCATGGCAGTCTGTAACAAGACCGCCTGGTCTTCTTGACACAGCGACGAGAAGTCTTCAAAGAGTGAAAAGAAATGCCCAATTTTCTTGCAGAATTGCATCCAAGTTTCAAGTACTCCCTTGGAACCTTTAGCAGTCATAATATCCGTTGAGTATGGATTGGCTTTGTAAGACTGCTTGTAGAATTCTTCAATGTGTTCTATTTCAGACTTCATTTCATCAGATAGAACAAATTCTTCGACCAAATTCATCGTTGGACCAGGGCCCTGGATCGAGGCAGATGCTACAGCAGGAGCTACCACGATAAGAGGTTGTGTTGTTGACTGCAGTTGTTGAGGTTGTTGCTGTTGTTGCTGAAGAGCGGCAGCAATTCGTCGTTCCTGTCGTTGTTCCATCATCTTACGGCGTTCAGCCTCACTCATAACCCAACTTTTCTCCATTCCGATGGCCAAACATTTGTGAAACCTTGAAAATGGATGAGAGTAAAGAATGATAAGCAGAAGTTCTATACTTGATTAAAACTAGAAGTTCTATACTTGATTAAAACTAGAAGTACCTATGGTATGAAGTAAGTTATGAATGCTCCATGGAGTCAAAAATTTCTCATTAAAGTATGTGTTAATAGACAATGACAAGTCTAACTGACTATGTTCATCAAAAATCAGGACAATCATCCTCCATATTTAAGACGAATGAAGAAAATTGTCATTTTTTGACCATACTAAACTAAGTGTAATTCGATGCTAGTCGAGCTGAAGCCCACCTGCAATACTGGCAAGCTTTCCTGGAAGTTTTGGCGATGACACATTTCTTCTCGTAAGGACAATTGAAGCCGCGATAAGCGTTGTTCTGAACGGACCGTCTGAAGAAGGCCTTGCACGAGTCACAGGAGCGGCCACCAAAGTGGTTACTCTTGGCCACGTCACCACAGACTCCGCACTGCTTCAGCTCACCTCGACGGCCTTCGCCGGGGCTGCGCGATACAAATAATTATTACCCTTAAATTTTCTATGTGACGTGGATTATGGAAAAATAAGATAAGTCTGTGGATGGATTAGAAGAGAAAAAACAGAAGCCATAAATATATTTGAAGGTCTATGAGAATCCAAAAATGTTACGAATACTGTAAATCGACATAAAGTTAGGAAAACTACACCGCAGAAAAACTAACAATCTCATCCCTTCATATAATAACTTATTATTAGTTTGTTCACTTCATTGCATTGCTCATGTAAATTTCTCACATATACCTAATGCTGTATATTATTTTCTCGTTTCCAGTAGGAAAAAGCAGAAAAAGTTCAGGATTTTTGGATCGTGACGCACCTTATGGGCGACGTTGGGTTATCAAAATAAGAAGGCGAGAGCGCAGAGTTGCTGCCTTGCGGAGAGAGCGAGGCAGATTCTCGCCCCAAATATTCAACGCGATCAGATTCCATACCGGTGGGTAAATTCTTACGAGCGTTCACCACAGTCCAGTCTCGTGATGCAGACGAAGATGAACCAAAGCTGGTGGCTGACGATTGATGACAACCACGAAGGGATGAAACGAATGCGGGGGTTGGGGGAGGGCGGGACACCGCCGCCCCCTCCCCCAAAAAGGACGCACAAAATTTATTGCGTGCGCCGGAACCACAGGTGCCGATCATCACCGCCACCATACCTGACGGTGGAGCTCTTGTCTATAGCCGCTGCGTCGCCCCTACGCCCCACAGCGATACAGGGCACACATCATCGGCCGTCTGGCAGACAGGGCAGATGCTGGTCCAAAGCGAAGATCTGCAATAAATATAAAAAATTAAACTCAGTACTCACTGCAGTGAGTGACAGAGAGTGCATTTTCTCGTCGACGAAAACATGAAGTCACGGACGGACAGACGGACGGACAGAGGTACATGGCAAGCACAATAGTGCATTTTTTCATAAATGAGAAAAAAAGTAAGCAATATTACAATTTAAAACGGTAATGAAGCTAGTGTGCACACTGAAAGGGTAAATTATCACGCAGGGAACAAAATTAATGCAGGCTGCGAGAGAGAGTACGTTCATCAATTCCCTGATTCAGGTTAAACAAGTATTTGTTATCTTTATACATAGAGCTCAAAGCGACGCAAACGCATAAGATATCACCGATAGCAACTGAAGACGATGATAAGGATAACATCGAACATTGACAGCAAATGAGAAGTTGGTACGGACGACGAATAGCCTTCGTCTCGACCAATGACGGACACTCTGAAGCGTTCCCACAACTACTGTCAATAAATACCTGTATCGATTTATTAGGCACGGTGGCTTCTGATAAACAATACTGCAGAGAACACTTGCGGTGTACGTCGTTATAACTAATCTTTCTCTGGTTTTTCACGGATAGATCATTTGGACGGATGATCAAGTAAAAATTGTACACGCGCAATGATTCATCTAAATACCGACGCTTAGTTTGAAACCTTTATTGCCATATGAATTACATACAAACGATCACACTGAATGCCGCTAATGTTTTGTAATATAAATTCGGCCGATTAACAGTTGTCCCAAATCGTTGTAAAACCTCATGCAGAACTACATCCATTTTGAGTTATAAACTGCTTTGGTTTATCAAGAACGAGGTGCCAGGAGAGTAAACATGTCAGTCCAGTTCAGAACTGAGCAGACGCGCAGTAAACCGCCAGCTGAGGCCCAGCTCTTCATTAGGGGCTTTAGAGCAGCTTCTTGCAGTGGCCTGAATTGACTTTCTTCGTTGACAGTGAACGGCTAGTAAACATAGGTAATGCATCATTATCAGAATTATTAAACAACATAAATTAACGATTCCACACTATGTGAAAGTGCATTTCTTTTAGTACAGTATTGCCATGTGGATATGCATTCACGAATTCCATGGAGATTGTTCATTACGAATTAGTATTTTTTAACTAATGAACATGTTTTTCCCATTACACGCCATCACCGTCAGGATAGGCAGGATGAACGCATATTGAACAATCACAAGGGCGGCACCATTGTTTTAATAAAAAAAACTTCGGATCTCATAGATTGTTCTTTAGACAGTCTAACCGGAAACACAGGCATGACATCCATTTGTCTTTAAACTCTAAAATAAGCTTTAAATTCTTTCCAATATGCTTTAACTTCTCTCGTGAGTAGGAGAAATATAATTAAAAAAAATAAACTATTTACTTGGCTTGACAAGCATATAGTGCTGGAGGTGAAAAAAAAACATGCACAGCTGTCATACCATACCATCGACCAACGTACAAGTATAGAGCTCACAAGTGCCATGCAGTACACGAGTACTGAACTGCATCGCGGCTCTCATGCGCATGGAAACGGCATGAAATATTCACTGCGCGGAAAAGGCATGAACTATGCACATCCGTAAGCATATTACTCCATTCAAGTTAAGTGACTGAACTTAAAATGAATAACAATTGAATTCTTTCAGCTTAAAAAACTTGTAACATCGAAAGTAATGCGAGGTATCGAAACGAATTACACTGACAATTATTTATCTCTATAAAAACGGTCCTTGATGTCATTACGGGAAATCGACAACTATACAAGTTAATGTTCAAGGTAAATTGAATATTTTCGGAGTTTGGAGGAGATAAATATGAAAGCAGCATAAAGCATTTGAACTTAATGCGGTGTTACGCAGAATGAGACGTCGCCATACATTTTAGGATTTCGCTACCTAAAAAGGCGGTGAAATAATGATACCTACCAGATGTTAGGATATGTTTGTATTCTTCAAAATAACAAGAGTAGTTGTATCCTACGACTAGTTGTGTCCTACCAAAAGAAACGCAGCATCTATTTACGACTTTAGAAAAATAAAATGTGATCGATTGTTGGCAAACTTGATCAAAATCCATTTCTCATTTTCTATTGGAAATCTTGTTTGCACAACATTCAATTATTCCATAACCAAATGTAATTTTGACCTTTAACTTGCTTTAATGAAATACAGCGGAGCTTGGAAAACTTTAGCCTCGTACATAAATCAACTTTCACACTTCCTTGACGCGTGCATGCCTTAAAAGGTATGCGATCAAAATAGTCAATCAAATTTTGGCCTTCAGGATAAAAGCCATATACTGTATTTATCGCTTGTTTTCATTGCGTTCCGAGGCAGACGACATTTTTTCAAAATTCTCATAAGGTCAATAATCAAGTCTTAGAAAACAAGAAAAATTAACTTGAACTGGATTTTAATGCCCAACTAAAAAAAAGACTAATAAAAAATAGACATTTAAACTAAATTTCAGCATCTAAAATTATTACCGATCAATTTGTGATACTACTCAATATATCTTGGCAAATATCACAGATAATACAATGAATTACAGCAAAATTGAATAAATCTGAAAACATTTTGGTATAATAACAGGTTTTCAGTAAATTAACGGATCAAGTGCGATAACACTTATTCTAACACGAAGCAGTCCGATAGCTAACATAATTTAATAGCGCAGACGAAAAAAGTAGCTCCACTTTGATCGAGCTAAGCGAGTCAACTGAGCCATATAAGGGCACGCGGGTTTGTTTTTTTTTTCTTCGATGAAATTAGGCACTATCAGCCATATAAAAACTTTTAGTCTACATATAACCGTAGTAACATCATGCGAAGTCAAGCACTTAACATTTTGCTTCTGAGAATTGCAGCAATCAATAAAACCATAACACGCAATCATGCATACCTACAGAATAACCACCGGCAGTTATTCCAACATAGCAGCCATTTACGTTTAATATTCACAAAACAATCGCTAGCAATTATTCCTATAGAATAAACACTCGCAGTTATTCAAACATAGCAGCCATTTGCGATCATTTTTCACAAAGCAATCGCTAGCAGTGATCCATACAGAAAAAGCACTGACAGTTGTACTAACAAAACTACCACTCGCGTTGTCATTACAGAAAAACCCGACATTATAGTTGTACAGTGCACCATCCGCCAGAGCAATGGAACCATAGGCAAAGGATCGAGGGTGAGCTAGCAGCCTCAAGGTTGCAGAGCTATGGAAATGAGAGACAACGAGCCTGCATATAAGGAAGTGTGGTGAGATAAAGCAGCGAGGCGCTCAGCGAAAAGAACACGCATAGTCAGGAAGTTGTGAAACCACCCATGCTTTTATGTATCTCGTATTACGCTTTAGAAATTAGATTATCAACAAACATATCATATAGTAACTCGAAGGCTGAGAATCGACCATCGCAACGATGTTCATAGTTCAGAATAGCAAATGAAAACCGCAAAATAATGCAGTTGATTTTCAAAATCTAAAAATCGACAATCGTTACGATGTTCATAGTTCAGAATTGCAAATGATAACCGTAGAATAATGCGATTCAATATCCAAGAACCAGTAATCGAAGTGATTAGTGCTTCAAATAAGCTAAATCAGAGCACGCACATGAAAAAATCTGATTGTATCCTAGCGTGAGACGGCGGGAATGAGTGTTGAATATCACAGTTTCTGCATGATCATCAGCCATTATTTCTTAGACGACTTTAGCCTTGGCCTGAAGCTACTGCAATTCAGGCCTTCGCAAACAGCTTCACTGCAGCTCACATGTAGGAGAATCTGCCTAAAAAGCGGAAACACGTATTAAAAGCGGAACTAAATATTCAAAATAATCACCCTAGACAACTTGATTGCGTTGTTCACAAGGATAGACCGATGATGTAAGACATTGTATTAAGTATAGAAGTTATAAAATGTACGACATGATCCTAGTTCCATAGCACTTCAAGTGAGTAAATAATCCTTCAATACCATACATAGGTCCTTCATGTAAAGTGTAAACGATACAACGGGTAAGACTGTATAATAATGCAAATCCTGCAATTTCAAATGTAACTTAGAGAACTTCCAGAAATGCTGATACCGAAGAAACGATAGTTAGGGAAATAAATTACGCCATTAGACTTAAAATTTTATTACAGTTAAAAATAATCAGCAAGTCCGAAGTCGGCAATTTTATAATGTACGAGAAGTCTAACTTCTTCCAAAAATACATAGCAGCAAAAAGTAACCAAAACACACTGTATTGATTTGAACTTTGATAGTTGCATATAACAGACGCACATATATACCATTATATACAGCTCGGGAAAAATTATCCACAAAATTTAAATTTGTCTTCGTTTGATTAGAAAAAATGTGCACAGTACAAAGTTCAGATATTAAGTCATCAGCTTGATCGTAATCTCATACCATGAAAAAGTGCATTGAGATAAGCTTTGTAATACACAACTCTAACAATGGCGCGTATATATAGAGTGTGATGGCAAGCAAGAACAATACATCAATGACGCTATCACGGCAACAAAGACCAATGCTATGGGGAAAATATTAGCATATGAGAGACAGCCTGTCTTCGATACTTGGATTTTTCGTCCCAATAATCTAGCAGATCGTGCAGAAATCTTCCTAGGAGCACCTGATCGTCTTTGGTTTTCAACGCTGTCACGGGTCTTGAAGCGTCCAATGAACGAAGCAACTGTACTAAAAGGAACATTCAAGTGGCTAGCAATCTTTCTATAACTTTCTACTTCCATCCAACGCGATAGAATTAGTTGTTTTTGGGAACTTGTTAGTTCTATACCTTTAGCCATTTTTGAGACCTTCTTCGGGCATTTTTGAGACCTGTACTACGGGCAGTTGCAGAATGATCTGGTAGTTGCAAAATACGTTAACTATGGTTACTGATTACATTACTAGAACGTGCTACATGTTTCTAGTACATTCTGGAATGTTCTGGTGTGA